CCACCATTAACGCGGTTTTCAAACGTGTATTGCGGACGCACTCTTTGATAAGCCTCTCTGGGAATATTTAGGTGGGGTGATAATTTGCAGATTAACGGGATGGGCAAAGCTTTGATCAGCGTTTCAGTCCATACATGCAAATCAATCACATGAATTGAAAGTAGAAATGAAAAGGGCTGATTATAATTAGAAAAAATGCATTGGTTTTTTTATCATGCTTGCATATACGCAATCTTGAAATTATTTGTGATTTGGCCTCAAGGTTAGAATTCTTTTGACTTGCTTATTGTTGTTTCGACTTCAACCCTTACAATGAATTCATATAAGTATTCTTTATTTTGTTGTTAAATTCTATGTATTTAACTTAAAAATTAAAAATCCATATTAATAATTATAACATATTAAGCGTTATATAAAAGTAATAGTTTTTTTTTTATATTTAGACATTTTTTAAATTAAATTAGATATTTTTGTATTTTCTTATTATTCTTTACTAACTAGAATATTTACGGTTGGCTTTAGGAAATATTTGATAAACCCTATGTGTAAATTTATAAATAAGCCAACAGGTTTTGTAAAACCAAATGTAATTAGTTAATCAACATAAATTTAAATATTTGTGCATGTCAGTTGTTTTTACAAATTATCAAAATATCGTCTGCAGTTTGTTCTGACCATAATTCTATAAGAATTTTAGTGCCCAACAGTTATCATCTATTGAAATTGCAATTCTAGTTGAGATGTCATGAATTTGAACTTTGTTGAAATTTTTAACATTTGATTTTTTGAAAGTGCGAGATTTCATTTTTGTCATCAATTGATCCCCTGGTTTATTTAAATTTCAAATACCTTATGGAATAATTCATGAAAGCAAGCATGAAAGTTAATTTTTCCTTATTAGCACACATTACAATCTTCAATATAAATATTTTTAAATATTCTACACTCAAAATTAAAAGAAAACATTATAATTGAACTGAATTGAACCATATCAACCTTTCATACTTTCCCGATTTTAAACACACAAGACGCATGACATTATTTTTATCTTCGAGATATAAAAAAGATGCTTCGGCGCAGTGCGAGCGCTCGAGCTTCCTCGTCCGTCTCATCTGTCGGCGGCGCGGGGCACACAATGTTCCTTTTGATTTCCATAACGAGCTGGCGCGCTCTGCTCCGAATGTACCGAACTAAATGCATGATATCCAGCCGAGGCAGCGCCGCTGCTTTTTAGCAGTTTGTTGATTAAAATCGAAAGACCGACCTGTCGTGCGCGGCTCCGTCGGCCCCGTCAGTCGACAGATGAACGCTCGCTCGAGTGTCTGTGGCGGACACTCTGATTGCCCGCGAGCACCGCAGGTGTTACTTTCCACGCAGGTAAATAAACTAATATTCGCGCTCTGTGAGAGAGAGAGCGAGACAGACGCCGATACTGATTGCAAACGTGCTCGGCAATTCTCTAATCAATGGCTGCCCGCCAATTTGAGGTTTGTGGGAAGCAAAATCAAAAGTGGATTCAAATGATTGATTTTTTTAGAACTAACAAAAATTTGTCAGTTAAACTTAAAATGCAGTAATTTTCATTAAATTAATTAAAGTATTGAAAGACACAAAAAAATAGTTGTTACTGAGATTCAGCTTTTCCTTGATGGTTTAGTTTTTTTCTACGAAAATAGCCCATTGAATTTCTATTATAACATCTTCGTTTGTAAAAGTTTCTTTACAAAACAAAAGAAATAATTTGCAATTTTGATGTTTTAAATAATCCAAATGTTTTAATGAAAATTGTTATTCTGCTTATTTCAAAGCAATATAATGTAAGAAGGACATTCATTTTGAATTAAAATGTCAACACAGATAACAATATGTGGTGACACTCTAGATCGAGGCTCAACAATGCAGCCCGTTAAGTGGCATTGAATGATACACTGACAGTAATTTAGTAGCTCATTGTCATTCAAACAGTTTTCTTTTCCTCGGATCGTGCTCCTTAACTACGCCACTTAATGACTTAATCATTTAATTAAATAGCTAAACGTGTACATAATTCAGCCTATGTGGGTTGTACGTAAGAATAAATGTTTTAGTTTGAAAATTAATTTATATCAAGGGTAAGTTTAATTAACGATTTTAAAATAAATTAAATTTTAACTTTTCTTAAATTAAATAAATCCCAATTTGTAGGAAAAGGATTTTAAATTGAAAAGTATGATATTTTTTGTTTGCAATCCACAAAATCAAACTTAATTAAAATAATTCCTTCCCAAATTATATTTTTAGTGAATTTTTCAAAAATGAAACTAAAAATTAGTTAACTTTGCACCGCGACCTTGCCAACTGCGGATCCGTATCAAATTGAGGGGCACAAATCTCCACTGTTTGTGGTCCACTCGAGTAGCCACATCCTTCACCATCACCACCAACGTTCGTAGAATTCGTTGTTTTCCCTAGACCAGCTCATTACGTTTTAACGATGTTCACACGATAGGTGCGTGTTACTTTTTTTATTAATTATATATTTTTCCAGTGGACGCGCAGACATAATGGTGCGGCGATATAATTTTTGCTCGCGTGCCAACATGGAGGGCTGCGTTGGCCACTCCAGCTAATTTTAGGGTTGGCTCCGAGGTGGAAGATATTGAGCAGAGCGGCATTTCGCGCGCATCCAGAATGTCACTCCACTTAAAATAGCAGCCGGGCTGCTTCGTGTGTTATTGGCCGATTATTGGTCAATTTTCCTGTCGTCGCCCTCAAATGGATACAAATGCGAATTCCGCCCCGATTCTTGGAAAGCGCAAAACTACAAGAGCCAAAGTTTTTGTTGGGCTTTTGTCAAAACAAACAGGAGTCGGCTTTGTGTTTGAAGTAACTGTACCTAAAATGAAAGATTTTCTTTGTACAGTCAACCATGAACAAAAAAAACAAAAAAATGACAAGATATTTTAAAATTCAAAAATTTTGTAACGGAAAGCATTAAATTCTAGTTTCAAAACCTTCTTTTATATTATTCTTTGGTATCCATTTTTAAAGCCATTGTTTAAAATTAAATTACTTTGAATTTTAAATTTAAACTTTTTTCATAACATATTTTACAAACATTTAAAAGGGCTTCACCAATTTTATGTTTGTATTTAAGTACTTGTTTGTGATGAACTGGAATAATATCAAGAAAAGCTGAAATTTTAAAACTAAAAATTTGATCTTACAGTCTGCAACAATTTACAGATTTAGATTTCGCTTCTAATATTTGTGAAAATTCTGACCCAGAAACCAAATCTATGCACAGGCCTTTTTATTAATAATTCAAAATGCAAGTTGATATTTTCAATTTGTTCTATTATTACTTATTTATTTTATTCTTTTCAAATAAATAATACAAATAATTGGAAACAAGCAAGAAATTGATGAATTGATTAACTTGACAAGCAAAATTAAATTATTCTTTTTATTTGGGCCTTTTGTACTTTAAAATAACAGTAATATAACATTTTTTAAGGAATATTAAATTGTCAACTCTGCGTTTTTCTTTTAAATTATTCCGTTGGATGACTTGGAAAACGTTAGCCTGGTGTTTCTTCTTTTAATCAAAAGCTTTTCCGCTCGTTTCCTCCTCTTTTGCCCATTTTCTCTAATCCCACAGAAGCTAATTTGAGCCGGATCTCGCAGTATGGTTGGCGCGCCGCAAGTCCCCAATTGGCACTTACTTAACCCGTCTTCGTTTTGTTCTCCGCCCATGTACCATACTCGATTCTCAGAGACCCGAGTCGAGCGAACAAACAAGTATACGCGGAATCGAAATACACAGAAAGATAAATGATGCTGAGCAAGAGAGAGGAGCCGGTGTTTCGCAACCGCCGATCAACCTTTGCGCACGAAAAGTGTACCTGCGTGACGTCACCCAAGGTGAAACCGACCTCTTCCGCGCGCCGCAAAGCTTTCCGTAAAATCAAACTCGGTCCCAATAAAGGCCTTGTTAATGCACATGCACGGTTGGTTAATCGTGCCGGGGCACATAAAAATCCACCCCGTGTGTGCGGGTGTTAAGCTGCGGTGCCGTTTAAGACCGAAATTGCCCCTTCGGCGGGCTGACGTCACCATCGTGAATTTGCTTTATGGGTCTTATACAATATTCGTGTGTTCGCCGCTCGCTCGCTCGCGCGTTTGGTGACTGATAACCTTTCACACCCCGATAGTACGGCGGACCGATCAGGCGCCAATATTTGCCTGAAATATTTAGTCTGCATGGAGGTTATTCAACTTGACATGTCAATTACCCAAAAGAGCCAGTCGCAATTTTTACTTTCCAAAATAATTTCATTCTAAATATACAGAATAAATGAATTATTATCAACCATTTGTAATTGGAAAAATGAAGTAATAAATTATTTTATGAGGGGGATTTTCTGATACTCTTTTATTATTCACATAATCTCGCACGATGGCTAAATATCATTTTGGGACAATATAGGGCAATACCAGTTATAATTATTATCAATCTTTTTTAATAAAAAACATTTCATAAAATATATGACACTTCTTTTCTCACCCACATTGTTCAAGTTGCATGCTCTGGTAAAAGATTTCATTAATCTTTTCATCAAGAGCATGTTAAAATTTTATTACAATAATAATATATTTCTAAATTATATTTTAATGTTTCGTGATTGATTTTATTCAAAATCACATATGTACTTCAAACATGCTGGAAAAATAAAATAAATAAAATTATGTTTAAAATGCATAAATAAAATTAATAAATACAGTAAAATAACTATTTAACGAGTTTTTAATAATATGTAAATTATTAAGTACGTCAAACATTTTTCTATTAACTATTATTTTGTATCAGCAATATTCTGCTATAAATTAATTTGTCCATTTCCCAATTAAACCTTGGAACTTTGTTTAATTTTAAAGCAAATAATGCATTTTAATCTTTATACAGAGTAAATTTGTTCCGCATTCAATTTTTTTAATTTTCGCGCTTGACTTTGTTTCAGACGAGATTCAGCGCTGGGAGAGCTGGCCGTGAAACCAATTACTCAGTTCCCGGTTTCCTTAGAAGATGAGGTGAGTCTTTGTGTAAAAACGACACCACCTGAAAAGCTAACAAAATTCTTCAAACACAAACGTTATCTTTTGACAACCTTGAAGTTTTCATTTTCCCACTTGTGCAAGAAATGGATACTTCTTAAATTGTATGTTGTGATTAAATAAAACTACTTATTGATGCTTTTGTTTGGCAACAAGAGGCTTTGCAGCCGATTCGAATGCGGGCTTGATTAAGCATCGCGGCACAAATATAGCCTGTGTGTGCGTGTTGAATTATTGAAAAGCACGTGCCGAGCTGGGAAAATGAAACAAAATTTACAAACGCACGCACCAGAGTGCAGCCAGCGATGACTGACAATGAGAGCTTAGCGGATTCTCGTTTATGTGCCAACTTGTGGTTTCTCTTTTGCAGAGCATCGAGGACAGATATGCAAAATTCAAAAACCTCAGAATTGTGACCCTCAAGAAGGTAAATATGTGTTTCCGTTGTTTTCCAGCTGATTAATTATTTTTTTGCATGATTGATGGACGTGTTTCTGTGCGTCAAAGTTGTTTTTCAGTTGTTTGAACTCTATAATGATGCGGGAAATTGTACATATTTTTAAGGGAAAAGAAAAGATATACGTGGGTTCCAGCGTCAGCTTTTCCTGAAGAATCACACCCGGTTTTGACAGTTTTTTGTGAAGGGTCTTTCTAATTAATTGAATGAAAATTTAGATTATTAACTACATAAAATATTCAAATGGTTTAGAGTAAATTGAACAAATTTCTATAATCGGAAATGTTTGAATTGGAATTATTTTTTGGTTTTCAAATATTTTAAAATACTGAAAAAAAATATTTGAGGAAATTATTTCAATTTTTTCACATATTTAAATGCAAAGGTATCACTAATTGATGGATCTAGAAAATTAATTAATCTCAAATAACTTTACAAAAGAATTAAAAGTAATGTTTTCTATTCAGGAATTGAATTTTCAATGATTTATTAATTTATTGCTTCTTCTTTATCAAAAAGGGTGGGGCAGGTAGCGTTTTTTTCCGCCCTTCTTTAACCCTCTCCCTGCGGGTTGAGGTGTTAATTAATTAGGGGCGTAGGTCAAGGCGGTAGTTTCATTAGCATGTATCATTTCGACCTCGTTTTCACCGCGCACACTCGGTCCTCAGATCTTCTTTCTTTAATAACGATAATGACACTCGGGTATAGAATGGTGTGTATAGCGCTGTTGGTTAGGATCGCTTTCGCTTTTAACCCGTGGGGTGGGGGGGGGGGGGCTGATAAGGACGAGCCATAGTCAGGGCTGATAAGGCGAAGAAGCCGCGGCAGCTGCTCCGGGTGCATAGTAATGAGACGATGCGTCGTTTTTGCAGGGGCCCCAAGGCCTGGGCATCATGATCATTGAAGGAAAGCATGCCGAAGTCGGGCAGGGTATTTTTATCTCTGACCTCCAGGAGGGAAGTGCAGCTGAACAGGTAACTCAAACTTTATGGATATGCGGGGGATCTGTCCTAGATAAAATAAATATTGATTTTTCTTTTCTCCCCACTGTCACTCTTTGGCTTTCAAAATTTATCCTCGTCTTTTATTATTTGTAAATAATTATTTAAACTCTAATTTTTGAGATAAAAATTGAAGATCCTTGTTAAAATTACTTCAGCCTCTTCTTGTGCAACTTGCTTCCTCTATCAATCTTTCTGTGAATGCAAAACTATATTGTTTTTTTTTCACGTGCGTCTCAAATTCGTTTTGATTTTATTGTTTTTGGAAATTTGTGTTCAATGGCGGTGTTTCTTTACAGGGCGGCATTAGTGTCGGAGACATGATTCTCCAGGTCAACAAAGATACGCTTCTGGGTCACAATTACGATTCTGTAAGTCCCACCCCATATTATCCCTTTTGCTATGAACCTGAAGTTTCCTTCTTCTTTTTTCGTACAACTCAATCTGACCGTTGGTCAAATCACTCATTTCAGGCCGCCGCCATGCTGAAGCGAACGGAGGGTGTCGTCACCCTGGTCGTCTGCAACCCTGGCAAAAAGGAAAAAGGTCTGATTTGTTTTGTAGCAGATTCAATTTCTCAAATTGGTGTTTTTAAACAATAATTTTTTGCAAAAATCGTGGTTACATAATTTGGGATTTGGGCATGTCCAGATCTGTTGCGAAGCGATTTTGCATGGGGAAATTTTTTACCAAATTTCATGCCTTGATGCCGCATTATAGAAGTTGAAATTTTTGAACTCATAATGTGTAGTTTCGAGGGCGATACCCCATCGTCCTAGTAACGAGAGGCAGGTTTCTGAGAGTGGAGCATTTTTCAAATTAATTATTAATTTATTCTAAAGTTTTAAAAATTCCATAAATTGAATCTAAATTTAAAAAAAAAATTGCACTTCAAACTTTTCTTGCCATAAGCATGACTTCTTTTACAGTTCAAATGCTTAATAGGTGAATAAATTAAATCCCTAAGGAGTGGAACTTTGTATCACAGTTTTGATTTCGTTCATAAAACTTTTTCTTTGAAAATCAAGAATAAAAATAATTTATATAGAGAGAACTTTTAATAAATTTTAAATTTTCTACCTTTTGTTTACTCAATAATTTTAATTTTAATACAAGAGAATTTTAGTAAATTATAGTTCCAAAATGTAATGGCGCTGATTTCCATTGTTAGTAATATTTATTTACGTATGAAGTAATAAATCACCGTGCCGAATGGAATCGCGCCTGACCGAGCAAAAATTTAATCACCCTCAAAAGGAGCAGAGGCGCTTGTGAATCGCTTTTGTCACCGCGCGCGGCCGCTCCAATTTTGTGCAGCCCTTCTCGAGAGGGTTCGCCGATTACCATTCGGCTGCAGTCTGTGCTCCACTCTTGTGAAATCCACTATTCTCTCTTGTCTCAGACTGCTCTGTGCAGCGAAAAGATGCCTTGGCGTTTTATTTAAATGTGAATTTTTCTCTCTTTCTGTTTTATTATTTGTTGCCTGGTGTGTTATCTGGTTTGTTGCGCTTTGCCAAACAAACAACCAATCTGCCGTCGCTCGCTGCCCGCCTTGCATGAACTTGACGTGAGTATTTTACCTACGGTTTTTTCCCTCTGATTATCCCCACTTAAAAGAGGTTTATCTCAGATAATTATTTCCATTTTTGCCAAACACTTGTTGTTTCATGAGTATTTGTAGAAGTGTAAAAATTTTGAAGGTGTTCCCCTTTAATTTCTTTCAATCTTTAATATTAATATACCAGCAATAGTTATCAAATTTCTAATTTGTCAAAAAAAAAAATTGAATTCATAATTATATTGAATTTAAAATCTTGAAATTCATTTAATCTTCCACAAAATAAAAAAATTATAAAATTAAATTTTTAAGAACTAGTTTTGGCTCCTAATTTTTTTGTAACGATAATTTATTAATTTGAATAAATAATGATATTTTATTAAACGTTGATATTTGCAAGAGCATAAAGAATTTTGCATGATTTTCCCCACCAAATCTAATATACCAAGCAAATTATCTGAAATGATTTGATTTTCCTCCAGGCAATAAATCGCCCTCCGTCTACTTGTCTTCAACGTCGTCTTCGTTGCCGTCGTCGAAACCGTCGCACCTTCCCGTCACAACTTCGCGCTCACCGTCGACACCTTCGCCATCGCCAATTCGCGGAACCTCACCTGCCATGGCAAATTCCAATGCTCGCCCAAAATCTCCCCACTTACGCACCACAGAGGAACCGCCCGAGCCCCCAGCGGACCCCGCCACCTGCCCCATCAAGCCCGGCAAGGAAACCACCATCGAGGTCAACAAGGACAAAATGGGCCTCGGCCTCAGCATTGTTGGAGGATCAGATACACTGCTGGTGCGTAATTTGAAAAAGAGAAAAAAAATGGTAAAAATATAATTTATTATCATTTTCAGTCGGCCATTATTATACACGAAGTTTACCCTGATGGTGCTGCTGCCAAGGACGGCCGCCTTCGCCCCGGTGATCAAATTCTTGAGGTGAACAGTGAAGACTTCAGGAGCACCACTCATACGAAAGCCCTGGCTGTTCTCAGACAAACTCCTGCCAAGGTAAGCAAATATTTTTAAATAAAAATTTATCAAATTAATGAAAAATTGAAAAGGAGTTTAAAGCGCTGCTAAAGATATGAAAAAAAAAAAATAGCAGAAAGGCTATTTTTTTCGTTATTGAATTTGTTGAAATTTATTATTTAGAATTTATCCCAACATTCAAACTAAAAATAATTCATGTCATAATTGAAATTTGAAGGTAAAAATGGTGGTGCTGCGTGAAGAAGCTGCCAAGGAGGAGGACCGGTACGACGCCCTTGACGTCGAGCTGGTCAAGAAGCCTGGCAAGGGCCTGGGCCTCAGCATTGTTGGCCGCAAGAACGGCACCGGTGTGTTCATTTCCGATGTGGTACGACCTGAAATTTCAAACTTAGGTGGTCAGTGGTATATATTTTTAACATTCGGGTACACCAGGTGCATGGAGGAACTGCGGAAGCCGACGGCCGTCTCATGAAGGGTGACCAGATCCTCGCAGTCAACGGCCAAGACCTGAAGAGTGCCTCACAAGAAGAAGCCGCCGCCGTGTTGAAAACGGTGGCCGGAAAAGTCAACATGAAGCTCGGCCGGTTGAAGCCTGCGAGGAAAGGCGGTGCTGCCAACGGCACTGACAAGTGAGTAGCTTTGCTAGAACGCACGCCTAGAAAAAAACCTTTCGGTGTAAATAAGCCTCTCAGGCTTTGGTATTTGGGACTGCCTTTTGATATTCACTGCACTTGAACTGAGGAAAATTTGATGTTTTGACAGTGAAAAAGTATGATCTCATCTAGATTTTTGTCTTGCAATCAGAATCTAAACATAAAACCACATTTCATGCGGTTTTTCTCTTTGAGGGCAGCGCAAAACATTGAATTTTCCTTTTGCTTGCAATCCGAACTGACCTGATTTAATCAAACACTGTATTAAAAAGCACGGAGATGACTTTGGTGGACCCTGACCCTGTCTTCTTGCCCCCTTCTAACCCTGTAGCACCGTTGCCACCGCCAGCGCCAACCCGCTCTGCCTCGGGGCTCGGCAAGACTCCAAGCTTCCTTAGATCGCTTGCCAGAACCCTGTCGATGAGGCGGCGCAAGCAGGGCCGTTTCCACAGCACCTGACCCTCCACCAGTGCAGCTAATACCGAGAACTCTTTCGTTCCGATGTTGCATTTAATAAGAAAATTACTATTGCCCACGCACACACACATTAAATACAGTATTGAGAATCAACTTTATAAATAATATTATATTCATTGTTGAATGTGAAATAAAAATCAATGGAAAAAACTGCCCAGCCGGATGCGAACGCATTGTTATGAAATGTTCCCTCCGAGCTAGATTTTTATCTTATTTATACATTCATCTCTGTGTAGATCTGATTAAAGTTTGGAAAAAAAACGCACATGTGCATGTCTCTCATCCTGAAAGTAGTTTTGTACGAGTAGGCTAAATGTATTTAACTCCAAGTTGAGTATTTTTGGAAGCATTCCGTCGATTAAAATATATATATGCATTTTGAACCTGGAGCCGTGTCTCTTTTAATTCTGCTTCTCCTCCTCACTCGCTCGAATACGTATCCATTTCTCCAGTCTGTAGTCCTCTCGCTCAAAGGCAGATTAAGTGGCCAAAAATTATCCGCATCAGCATGCTACTCCCTTTTTTCTGAACCCGAGTCTTCCTGCCTGCAAAACAAAAAAACTCGGTGCGCCCCTTTCGTCTTTTGAAAGAGATTATATATTCTAAAAGGGATGATGGTTTCTTTTTGTTTCATGCTAACAACAGGAAATAAATATTGAGGTGAGTTTGATTTTTTTTTGCTGATGATGAAAAGCGCAGCTCTTTTCTCTCTTTTTGTCTTCTTATTATCGATCACGTCCCCCTTTTCACGGTGGTGGCTCTTTTCACATTCCGTAATGGCTAACCAAGGGTGCAGACTGTTTTTGCTTTGTCATTAGGATTCATTGCCGAGATTGTGAATTATGCTTCCGCGGTTGCAGGACACATAAACACACACACACAGCTTTTCGTTTCACAGTTCCATCTACAACTCAACACACGCAATATTTTTACACACAATTTCCACAACAAAATTTAAAAACTTGAGGCACAAATTTTGAAAATAGACAAAGTGAAAATTTCATTTGTAAAAATACAGATTGGTGAAAAATCAATATTTTTTACATTTTATGTTACATTTCTAGTCGTTTCAAATTTACTGCAAAGTAGATAAGATATTTATTTCTTGACTTTCTGTGGCATTTTTCATTTTAAAATTAATAACAATGTCTGTAAAATCTCATTCCATAAAGCCATAAAAGAGATAAGGTATTAAATATGATAACCAAAAAAATAATACTAATTATCACTTATTATAATGCTTTATAGCCTTAGTTTCTTCATAAATTATTGAAGTTTTTAGAAGAAAATACAATAGAACCTTAAAAAAATTTCCACATTTATTTAAAACAATCCCACTTAAAAAGAATAATTAAAATTTTAATACAAAACAATGACTTTTTTTAAACAGCATTTTCACTGGTAAAGGTATTGTATAAATACACATACATATATATTTTTACACAGAAAACACAAAGCACGCATTTTTTTTTACATTTTGGGGATTTTTTTTCATTTTTTATTTACTATATATTGAATAAAAATCTGGATTGACTAACGCAAATTCCTATTTCAGGTTGGAGCCTGAAGAGCCTCCGCTGGACAGACTAACGCCCCCTCCCATTCCGCCCCTGCCAACTGCCTCGTCAATAGCCGCCGCCGCCTCCGCTGCCGCCCCTCCGCCCCCGCTAGCATGCCGCGAGGTGAGACTGGCCCGGCGGCCAGACGGCCTCGGCTTCAGCATCGTCGGTGGGCACGGCTCGCCGCACGGCGACTTGCCCATCTACGTCAAGACCGTGTTCGAGAGCGGCGCCGCCGCCACGTCCGGCGCCATCCGCCGAGGCGACCAGATCGTTGCCGTGGACAACCTCCCGCTGGAGGGGCTCACGCACCAAGAAGCGGTCGCCGTCCTCAAACACGCCACTGGCCCCGTCGTCACGCTCACCATCAAGCCGTGAACAATCTGAATTCAATGACAAATCTTCCATCGCTCCACTCTGAAGCCTACGCGATCTTGATGCCATTTTTTTACTCGATTGCCAATTAGGATTTTAATTATTATTTTTTTTCTCTTCTTATAGTGGAAGGAAATGATTAATAGAATGAACCAATTATTTCCAGATCTCACTGCCTGTAGTTTATATAATTTATTTTTTATCCCCCAAAGTGATAAAAAAAAAATGCCATCTTGATCAACTCAGGCTGTTTTATTGCTACTTTGATTAGAGATCTCGGTATTTTTGAATGTGCAGTGCTCGGCAAGACACGTGTGGATCTATGAGAACGCTCGGATTTTTTAGCTAAATGGGACCATAGGAGTGATGCGACACAAAAGCAAGTTTTCTCTGCTACTTTGTACATAATGTATGTAGAAGAAGAAGAGGATACTTAATTAATTTATTAAGGATCGAGCTCGGTTGTGTTGTTGAATTGCCCCCTTTTTACGCTGCTGAAATAATTATATTGATAAATGACACACCTGTCCGCTCTTGTTACACGAAAATAAGAAAATTGTTGTATGAAAGCCCCCTTGACTCTGCGATATTTATATACACTGGAAAAAGACTCCTGACTAACTAAAAGAATGTTCGCCTCAACGAGATGTAATTTTCATTTAACTAAGTTGTAAAAGGCAATAATGAATGTTCTCGGATGTGAGAGAGAGAAGCTTTTATTACTCTAGGGTGAATCTCTTTTTATTATTGACTACTACTTAAAAGATGAGGAAGAACACAAGGTAGACTTCTTAAATTATCCGATGGTTACTAAGATGTAGCAGCTCTATTGTTATACTGAAATTTAAAATATAAATTCAAAGTGGTAATTATACTTAATTATAATTTTAAAACAAAGAAGCAAAAGCTGCGGCCATATCAAACAACAAATTACTTATAATTGATGAAGAATGCTTAATATATATATTTGTTTTGATGTGGAAAAGAGAGAGAACATAATATATATTATATTATACGCAAAAAGAGGTTAAATCTGTTCAAGTTGTATTTGCCATTGAGTGTGCCGTAATTTTAGAACATGATAGAGTTTTAATTTTATCTGTTACAAAGACTCTTCTGTTAGTGTTGATCTGATATCTGAACTTAATTCTTTCCTGTTTGGAAAGAAAATTTAACAAATTTTAAATGTCAAATGAAAATAATATACGAAGGAAACTTGAATCATCATACGTTGGATCATGGTTTTGAGAGAAATTTGTAAATATTAAAAATGCTGATGTATTTTTAATCACTACAGTTAATAAAGCTATACTGTAATAAAAGCTGATGCATTTTATATTTCATTAAAACGTAAATCATGTTTCATCACACAAATTGGCTGAATTTTTCCATTCAACACTTTAAATATTTTTCATCAGCTCAAAATATTCATCTGCCGACATCTGGGCAATTTCATCCTCAGTCATCATCATGTACTGGCAGAAGCTTCGATGCTGCCTATTTAAAAATTCGGTCTTTAAACAAATTTTATATAAAAAAAATATTTACTTTTCAATTTCCTCGGCACTCTTGCCACTAATCGGAGTAACAGGGAACGTATCTACCTTTTTAGGGATTTCATTCCTCTTCATTGCCTCCATCACCTTTAATTGAAAATAAATCTTAGGATTTCAAATAAAAGCATGAAAACTTACATCCTTGGCTCGTCTTATGATGGAGGGATCAATGCCTGCCGCCTCTGCAACTTGGTGAGCAAAACTGCTGCTCACGTTTCCTTCTTTAAGTTTGTACAAGTAAATGACTTCTTTGTCGTTGCACAAATGATCCAAGGTCTAAAAATGATGATTTATTTAAAAAGAAATTATTTTTGTTTTTCATTTTAATTATTACGAGTCTCTGAACGACTGGCGAATCCTGATCAATGAGCAAATCTGCAACACTGTGGAAGTGCGTTGAAATCAGCACCAAGGGACAATCGCCTTTTTTTCGCAACCAGTGGTTGAGACTGGCGGCCAACAAAGCCAGTCCGTCCAGCTCAGAAGTGCCTTTGCCAAATTCATCAATCACAATAAGCGAACGAGGAGAAGAACATTGAAGGGCAAGAGCCATCTGCAAACAATTAAAAAAATTATATAAAAAACAAATTTGCCATAAAATTGTAATTTAATATTACCTGGCGCAAGTCAATCATGAAAGCTGAGAGGGTGCTCGAGATTGATTCAACCGTCTGGATGCGAGTAAAGACCTCATGCAGCAATCCGATCTTGGCGCTGGTTGCTGGCACAAAGCTGCCAATGTGAGCCATATAAGAAATAAGTGCAACCTAAAATTAAAAAAAAAATATATATATATAATATTTCAATTTTTATTACTATTTATTATTATAATTGAATACCTGTTTTAAATAGACACTTTTTCCGCTGGCGTTAGCCCCAGTCAAAATTTTCATTCTCATCTCAGACTTGGTAGCATCGGTGTCATTTGGAACAAAATCGGAGACGCAAAGCTCCTGCAAGGGGTGCCTTCCGTTCTTGATTTCCATCACTCTTTCCTCCGTAAGTACAGGTCTCACATAGTTATTTTCCAGAGCAGCAACAGCCATTGCCGACAAGCTGTTGCAAGTTTTAAAATCAAACTGTAATTATTTTGATTTAAAATAAAATTACCAATCAAATTCGGCCAATAGTTCCATAATATCCAAAATGCTGTAGATCTTACTCTCCACAAACTGAATGAGCTTGAGCATAATTTCAGACTCCTTTTCCATAATGAGCGTTAAGACGTCTCCGACAACTCTGTCCAACTCTGAAATATTATTACATTTTCATAATACTAAATTCTGGGGAAAAAATCTAATGATCACCTTTGCATCTGGGAGTCTTGTAATGGGCCACATTTTCCGAGATGAACTAAATTATTTTTATATTAATTTATTTTTGTCAAAAAAATCTTTTATTTATTATATTTTCTCACCACAAATTTCATGCCAGGGAGTTCAAAATCAACCTGCTCTAAACTATTGGACCAGAACGGCACCGCAAGCAGAAATCCAATCTCAGGAATGTAATTTACAGTGCACTCGTTGATGTAGGTGGGCAGATCATTCAGTTCGTGCTGAGCCACATTAGTCAGCAATTCCTGAATGCTGCAGTATTCTTGTTTTTCTTTTGAGAGTTAAATGAAAATAAATATTTTTTAGATTAAATAAAGAGTTACTTCTGTCTAAGTGCATGTCGACTCCAGCGTGCACGACAAAGCGCTTCTGATTCTCCGATTCCTCCATATCCATGATAGTGTTGATTGATTGACCAACTCTGTAGAGATCGTCACTCAGACTGTCTGCAATCTGCAAATATAATTCAGTTATGTTTTAACACAATTTCTTGCTAAATCAGTTGTTGAAAACCTTTTGAAAAATTGCAACTTCGTCACGTTTTGAGTCGCAGAGCTCTCCAATAGCAACCACATTGTAAATTGTCTATTTCAGAAATTATTAAAATTAATTAATCGGGACAGCAAATATATATGAAAAAATTTCATACTTTCACAAGACTTTTCCAGTCCTTCACAGTGGGCTGCCCTGCCTTCAACTTAGTCAAGATTCTCTAAATCAGAAAATTAGTTTCCAAACATGTCAGACCCACCGAGACCCACTGATACCAATGGTCTCGATGGATCTCACGTCAGACAAGGGATTTGCCATTTTTTAATTTTTTTTTTTTACCAAAACGCCTTTGACATTGCTCATGTGCTCTGAAATCTTTTCCACAAAGCCTTTGTTGTTGGCTTTGATGCAGAAGTCAATGACGTCCAGTCTGTCGTTAAGGATTTTGATATCATACGTTGGTTTCAGCATCATCATCCTGGTAATTTTTTTCAATAAAATGATAAATCGCAGGTACAAAAATCTTTTACCTTAGAGCTTTGCAGCCCATTGTAGATTTGCATCTGTTGAATAAAGCAAACAGGCTCAAACCCTCAGTTACAGCAGTGGATTTTCCTCTGCTAATGTTGTTTGGACTAATTTGATTTGAGAAAATCTGCAGGGATGTGAAGGTGTCCAAATCGATGCACACAGAGTTGGTCCTTCAAAAACAAAATAAAATAAGTAGCGAATAAAATATTCGTGAAACACACTCACAGTGAGAACTTTTTTACTGCAACAATAGGCGCCGTTTGATCTCTGACCTCCAGATTCAATGTGCCCCAATGCTTGTCTAGAAACTTTAAAAGGGCACCAAGGGCGTAAACTGAGCAGTCATTGTTCAGGTCGACGAGGGAGTGGATGTAAGTCAGGTGAAGCTTGTCGTCTCCTCTGCAAGCCTCTGGCTCGCTTGGAAGTCTCAGGGCTAAAATCCTGTTCTTGATGAACTCGTGCTCTGATATAAAGAATCATTAATTTAAATGATTCTATTTTATTTTATAAATAATTAAAATTTTTAATTGGAAATAATTAATTGCAAAAGTAAAACATACTGTATTCATTGCCGGTCATAAGATTCAAATAGCATCGTTTTTGTACGCCTGCAGCTTCCTCGTCTGGGCCGCAGTAGTTTTTCAGCACATTGATGAAAGCCTCTGCAAGGCGCCCACAAGTAGCAATTTGGCTAAAAAAAGGAAAATTTAAATATACAATTTTTTTAATTAAATAAATAATTAAATTTGTAAATTTATACAAAATTGGATAAAAAAAAATAGATAATGCGCACCTTGGCTGTATTTGAAGAAGCAAAGTTTTGGTCACGTTGAACTGCGGAGCCAACTCTGGAATATCCGACAAAACGAGCACTTCAGACGTTTCAGCCATGTACACAGCAGCACCCAATTTACTGCCCTTCCAAAAGATACTCAGAACAACCTTGAAAAAAATTAAGTTGTTATATATCATAATTTTTTTATTGATATACAAACCTCGTGTGAATCTTCTTTTTCCTCCTCGCTTTCATGATCGGAATCATTGCGGTTTAAGGCACAAGCTCTATGGGGCTCAACTGAGCGGACGTCATCAATGGAAAACTCACTTCCATCTTCATCTTGTTCACTGAAAAATAATTCGGTTTGAGAGAAAAATACACATAGTTTTAATTTTATAGATTTTTCCATTATTTACTTAAACAACTCAGAATAATCCATTTCAATTGGTGAGAATGTAAAATGGAAAAAATTGCCACAGAGTCTCTCTGCGCACAAACCTATTTTCACGTGGTGGAATTAATTGAGGAGTTGCATTGAAAGAGACCGCCCTGTTCCTTGGCGGCGGTGCTGAAAATGTGCTGTCCGTAGAATTTGTCAGAGCAGCAGCTGGTGGATTTGGCGCAATCGGAGTATAAGTCGGAGTCACCATATCATCAGAATCCATTCTGAATATACTGAGACCTGGAAACAGAAAAAGCGGATCAGACACTAGACAGAGAATAAAGAAATTTTCGGTACACATGAGAATTTTAAGAGGATAAATAAGAAAATTAGAGTGAAGTTCTCTTATAAATTTATAATTATGTTAAAATTCCTGCCCGTAATTATTTTTTTTTATGCAGACAGTTTATGTGCAAGTCTTTACATTTACATACATAACGCCAAGATTAATGTTTTAGCATAATTTATGTTGATCAACATTATAATTTTTCGAATATAAGAAATATTAACGTACACAAAAATATGTAGCCCATGATTATACTCTCTTTCTATTCTTTTATTAGACAAAAAAGCCGCATATTTTTGTATTATTGTAACACAAAAATACGCAAAAATATTCATACACGAATGATTTTCATTTTTACTTTACATAATTCGCTTACAACCCAGACAATATATTTATGATTTTTCATTAAAGCTGATAAAAACTTAGAAAAATGCACAAAATACTGGATTGATTGATATAGAAATTTCAAGATTTTTTCCCGCTCATTCAATCTCTCCGAAGAATGTATTTTGAATATTCATGAAGAATAGCTGAAATTTGAGCTTTCTGTTCGCGTGCTTGGCCTAAATTTGATGCCGAGCCCATAAACCACAATCCATCCTGTGTGATTAATCAAAAAAATCCACCTTACCCTTCGTGAGAGCCGAGAATTGGAGAGCGAAACTCAATACGTCCGACAGAATCTAAAACCCGCAGAATCCGTCTCGATTCCCGCCTCTCCTGCAGCAGTGCAGTGGTGCTCCCGCCCCTCCCCGCCTGCTCCCCTCTCCTGGCCGTCTCGGGCGCCATCTGTGCGACGCCGTCAGGGAACCAGTGTGGCCATTTTTAATCCTGCGAAAACGAGAGTGCAGGATCAAGAGTAGAGACGGCAGCCGTCTTGCAGAACAAGCAATCGCCGCACCATTCGGCAGCGCCTCACGTCCGGCCGAGCTGCTGCGTGCCGAATCCACCCTCGCCGAATTTCCGCATCGGCGACGCAGGCGCCGAACCGCAGCAGCCACTCGGCGGCCCCTGCTCTGCACTCGCCAAACTCCAGCCGCCGCGCCGAGCGCCCCGGAGCACCCTCGGGCCTGGTAGACTCGCTCAGGTCAACGTCCGGCGACGTCCTCTACGCCTTTGAACGACGGCCGAACACGGCGACCGTCGGCACGAAGACTGCCGAGGCCCAATGCAGGCCTGAGCGCACGCCAGATCAAAGTACCACACCCACTCGAAATCCTGCAGGTTGCTGCCGTCTGTCACCGTGATTGTTTTGGTTGCCACAGGAAGGAGCAGGTTGAAGATGACCGAGTACAAGTTGGTCGTCGTCGGAGGTTGGCCAACCCCCTATCTCATTCCCTCTCAAGTTTCGCTCGCTCGCATTTTATCCATTTTATCCGTGTCGCCAATTTCGTTGTTCGATTGTGCACGATTTTGTCGCCGGACAAAGGCATGCATGAGTCATACGTGCAATTATTGTTACGATGAATAATATAATTATTTGCATGCTTCTCACTCACGGCCGCACTTGCGAGTGATTCACGCTTTTATTTTTGAGCTTCACTTTCCTCAATTCCGAAAAGATAACATAGCTTTCTGATTTCCCTGACAATGAGAATCACTTTAGAAAATACTTGAAGCAGTTTGTTCACATTACATACTTAAAAATGCATGTATTTATTATGCTCTTATTAGTGTTTAAAAAATTAAAAAAAAAAAACGACTAAATTGCATAAAACTTTTAGAACTTCCATAAAAAAAAATGGTTATTTTAGCCTCTTAATTATCCAATTTACCTTCAACTCCATGCATTTTTCATTTATTGAATGCAATACAAACGAAGCTAAAACAACGATTTCTTCTTCTATGTTACAGCTGGAGGCGTTGGCAAAAGTGCCTTGACCATTCAGTTGATCCAAAATCAGTGAGTATTACGAAGTACCAAGGGATGCACTGCATTTGATTTTCTGCAGAAATTCGTCAATATTTTTTGCGGGATTAATTTATTTTTGTTTTAAACAAATAAATGCACTTGTTCAAATTATATTCGAAAGAATAATAATTCAAATTATTGGAGCTTGCCTTCTGTAAGCTCAATAAAAGGCACAGGCCAATAAGACACTTCGTCTCGGCCTGAGAAAAAAATTATTTTTCGCAAAAATGATATATTATGGACAAAATAGTGCTTTAATTAATTATTTAGTCTTGTAAATTGGGCTGACCATTTTTCAATATCAACATTTTTTTCTTCTAAACACGTCCTAAAATATAAAATCAATAACAATTCCAAACAAAGGTGAATTTTATTTAAAAAATATAACTGAGAAATTATTTGATTTAAAATTAAGATTTTTTATTCAGACTTTTTTTAAATTTGTATCTTTGCTAACTATGATCTATTCCAATCTTAAGCTTTGTTGACGAATACGACCCTACTATCGAGGACTCGTACAGAAAGCAAGTGGTGATCGATGGCGAGACGTGTCTGTTGGACATCCTGGACACGGCCGGCCAAGAAGAATACAGGTACCCTCATTAGAAGCTCAAATATCTCTAGATCTAACAACTGCGGCTTTTGCAGTGCCATGAGAGACCAGTACATGCGGACGGGTGAGGGCTTCCTGCTAGTTTTTGCTGTCAACAACGCAAAATCGTTCGAGGACATCAGCATGTACCGGGAGCAGATCAAGAGAGTCAAGGACGCCGAGGAAGTACCCATGGTTTGTAAGTACCGACCAATTCATCAGAAAAATCAAATCTGAAAATTGAAAAACATTATCTAATTTATGTCCCAATTTATTTATGGAACTAAATAAACCTTATTTACTTTTAGTGGTCGGAAACAAATGTGATTTGCCCATGAGGGCGGTGGACATGGTGCAGGCAAGGGAGGTCGCCAAGCAGTACGGGATTCCCTTTGTCGAAACGTCAGCCAAGACCCGCATGGGCGTAGATGAAGCATTTTACACATTAGTCCGAGAGATTCGCAAAGATGTGAGTTTTGACTTTATTTTTTCTATTAAGGAACATTGTTTCTGACAAATTTTCTCTGCTCGATTTTGCAGAAGGAGCGTCGCGGCAAGGACAAGAGAAAAAGAACGAGAGGAGGAAGCAAGAAGAAAAAGTGTTGCATTTTATAATGCAGTGGCTCTTGCGCTTGCAGGCTCCAATAATTACAATTAATTAAGCATATTTAATTACAAAAAGACTTCAATTCAAACTTTGTAGCAGTGCGTTCACTGGTTTAGCACTCGACAACTACTTTTTGAAAGTGAAAATATTTCCAAGAAAGAAGGAAAGAAAGCAATTATTGAGAAAAAAAATCAACCGTTTAAATTAAGCAATGTCTTGATTGTCGTGTTTTGTCTCACAAATTTTGGCGTCGGCGCACGACACGGGCGAGCCTTTGAATTTCGAACCATCTAACTGTATTGAGATAGCAGCTGCTAACAAAACTGCGAATTTACAAAAAAAAAGAGATAACACCGGTTTCACTTTCGGCCGGCGCGTTAATCGGTGTTGGTGCTGGGGGTGATGTGGCTAGTGAAGATGCAATTGGAGTGTGTAATTGATTGTATAATTTGACATTTACAGTGGACCAATTTGAATAACTTGTATTTTAAAGTCTCCGTGAGCAGTCGTGGCCTGCGGACAGACCTCTTTGCCCAAATTTTAGCCAGCGCCACTTAGGGCGCAGACACACCGATTTGCCCCATCTGTCCCGGGTCGATGGTTTTTGCTCTGCGACTGCACGGAGAGTTTAAAAAACGCATTGTACTATATTATATTAATCTAGCAAGCAGAACTCTTGTGTGACTTTTGACCTGTATTTCTGGCTTTCTCCGATCCGGAGCGTCGCAAGCTTTTGGTTTCAACCGAATTCTCTCACAGTCAAAATTGCTCGATATGGATGTTTGTTCAAGTGTTCGATTTGGTTAAGAGCTATAATATCAAATAACTCTCAACGAACAGCCTAGGCCGACTCGGCAAGGCTAACAGCTGGATTGGGAACAGTTAAATTAAAAGCGGCTGCTGAATAGCAAAGTTTGTGGTCCAATTGCCTAGCGATTGATTCTAGTGTGAATGTGGCTTGATTGTTGAAAAACTCCGACAACCCCCCAGCACACGCAATTTACACAAATTCAAACCGGCTGCGCTCGGAAATGTCAGTATTTAACGAACGGAAAAGGTCTCTCGATGATGATTAGGATAAAAATTGAATGATTTTGATCGGCTTTATAAAAATTTTAACAGTTGTCGCCTGGGAAATTTGGCGTCACAGATTGTAATTTTAATCCATTTTTATTACTTTCAGATTTATTTTTATTAGGCGAGACGCATTAGAGATGTTGCTTGTTATTTTTCTATCGTGTTCCGAACGCGGCGACGGACAAATTTCTCTGTCGCCCTCTCTCTCTCTCTCTCTCTTCTATCTCTCTGTGATGACGCCGCTTAAAAAAATTGTTGATCATAACTTCTTAGCAGTTGGTCAAAGCTGACCGACGACTTTGTTAAATTATGCGAGGAAAAGTGCGGAGTTATATGAAAAATATTAAAATACTTTCGTGTTGTTCCAATGCGAGATTATTAAAATCTTTATATAGAACGTTGGACACGCTCTGAATTGAGATTAAGTGTCTTTGCAACCCGCATCAAAAAATGACAATTATTTCGAAAAATTTCCCACCTATGATGTATCAACAACACATTGTCCTCAAAATCCATTTATCTACCTGCAAGTTAATCAGGAAATATTTAATTAGCTAGTTGTAGTGATAAGATCAAAAAGAAATACCGCAAATTGTTATTTAATAAAAAAAAATCCTCTCCATTAAATAAAGAAAACTACGAATGCTTACAATTATCTAGGATTTTCAACGCACATAATCAGCACGAGAAAAAACAAAACTTGATTGCGAGTTTTCAACGGTGATTTACAGAACTGTAATTGATACAAATGTTAACTTATTACACTGATATTGGATGCTTTTGTTGAGAGTGGCGTGAAGGCCACGTGACGTCAAGGAATTATCTATCATTAAGTGAGGAAGTCACAAATTGAGAAAACAACTCTGTAATTGCAGGTGGTCCTCTGAAAGCGATTTTATTATGTGAATAATTGACGCAAACGAACGCCTCTGTATTTTTGTGCAAGGTCGAAAGCATTATTTTCCATCTGACTTTGAAAAATTGTTTTGATTTTTATTACTGAATGACAATATTTGTGTTAGCTACAAAGAAGCTATGTTTAAAAAAATGTTGGGACAAACTTCTTTTTTAATCCTCATGTACACACACAACACTTTTATTGCCGACTCTGGGAATTTCCGTGACAAAAATTTAGCCTCAAAATTTATGTTAATTAAGCATAGGGACGAGGCACTCTTTTTATTTTCAAGTGCCAAAATGCAACAATTCTCAATAAAATTCAAATGTATTTTCCTTTATTATAAAAATAAATTTAAAGTTACAAACAAAATTAAAAAACAGAAATCGTTTTATTTTGTTATAAATATAAATGTCATTTGTCATTTCTAATTGTAAGATTTGAGAAACAACTACAGGATTTTAAAAATTAGTTTTTTTTTTTTTTACTTTCCTCCACTGAAATTATATAAAATATTGAAAATTAAAAAAAAAACTTTAAAATTATTTCTCAATAGCGTTTCTTCATTGTCATGAAATATTATAAAAAAAAAAACTTCATAATAATTTATTATCTTATATTAATTCAATATTAATTTAAATATTGAAGAATTGTACTCTGATGAGGTATTTTCAATAAACTATATAATAATTTATTATCTTTGTGTGAATAAAGTATGAGAAGAAAAGCTCTGAAAAATGTAAATCGCGTTAGTTCTAGACTGAATGCTTTCGGACCAAGCGTTTTTGTACCGAATGCATTCAGACCAAAAAGTGCGCTTTGACTAATTGTAAATTCATTTGGTCAACAACATAAATATAAAAGAAAATTTAAATCTTAGAGTACATTTCACATTTCTCTCGGAAATCGATTCAGAAAATCTATTGAATAAAACTCAATTATTTCATTTTCACATTATGCGCCTTTTATTTTCATTTTTTGTGTGTGAAGCAATTAAAAGTCTGAAGCACTATACAAAAGCAATTGAAGACTACGCACATTGTATCATTATTCTTAGTCAAGTAGGACAATGTAACGTCAAATATAACAAAGGAAGCGAACGATATACAGGCATCTCTTCTTCATTACATTTATAATGTGTCGCAATTAAATGATTATAATATTTATGTATATATAATATACCAATATCAATATTGTTGCTGCAAAAGGCTCGTTATTTTTCTAATCAGCTTTTATGTAACCATGTTGAAAATTTAAACAGTGTTATCAAGGCCAATCGGGTGGTGGAGGAAAAAAATCAACGATTTTCATTTAATCTGGGCGAAAACAAAACCAGACGCTCATCACTCGTTCTTCACATTATTATATTAGGGAATATCATGTATATAACTCTTGTAATTTTTACATTACATTTTGATTGAAATTGTGCCACACCTTGCACTCGGTGGTCACTCTCGTTCTCATCTCTTGTCTCAAATTGGAAAAATCAGAAACGATTTTATTTTTTTAATTTTAAATTAAGAGAGCAGTAATACAATAATTTTCAATTTTCGACGATGCTCCTTGCATGCGAGAGGCCACTTAACCCGTTCAGTCTTGAATTAATGAGGCGCACATGCCACCACGCGTGCCTCATTAATTGTACATTCACAAATTTGCTTAGATCACCGCGCCTGCTTGCTTAATTATTTTAAATTTACAAAATAAAAAAGCCGAATTTCTATTTTTATTTTACATAATAGTTGCGATTCTGCGAAACCATAACATATACATTTGCAGTTTTTTTTTTGCAGAGCTGCAAACAAAATCCTGAACAAATTTGTTTCCATTCCATATAAATGCTGAACCGCATTATATTTCAATTTTATTAACAACAGTGGAAGGTGAAGGAAGATTCTTACTTTTTTAGCGTGATTACTTTGTAATATTCGTAAAACTCCTTAATTTTTTAATATTTCATAACTGAGATCAAAGCTCCATAAGTAATGATCGTACTCAATTTTTTCCTAAAAATTCCAATATTTTTTTCACCCTCTCTCAGTTTATGCGAATTTTCCAGTCAGTTCTTTGAAGAAACGTTACCTTTCTTCTACTTTATCTCTCCTTGGGCAAAATCTGGTGCTTACTGAAAGTTTTTACCGAAACATGGAATGTGCCCTTTCTTCCGCGAAGGTTTTGAATTTCTTTCTACATTGCTCGAGCCAATGGAAAATTGACACTTGACGGTCCAATAAACCGATTCAAGTTCACAGAAAAAGACTTTTTGACGCTTCATTATTTCGTGGAAAGTTTTTTCCCCTATAGCAAATTAAACATTATCAATTAAAAAGTAATTTTCATTAATTTAATATAGCACTTTCGATAGTCCAAAAAATACAATAAGTAGAAAGACTAGCTAAAAAGTGATCCTTTTCTGGCAATGATTCTCTTCTTTTTTTGTTACTCCCCCATTCTATTGTAAAAAAGGCATATATGATAGAAAGATCTGAGAGCTGCGGTTTCAAATAGGCGTGAATTGTCATACAACAGCGAACAGCGTAATAATAACCGGGTTGCAGAACATCGTGTTACATTATAATATTTTTGAGGCGAGGATAATGAAATGTAATTAATATTGATTATGATTTACATTAAACATAAAACTTAACCTGCTAATTAACTATTTCCATTGTGTATGCGTGTATTTTATTTAATGCAATTAATAATAATATTTTACCATTATTATCCGCTTGTGTTTCTGCTTTTTAACAGCACTCTAAGCAGTAGGTTGTGTATGTTTGTGTTGGGATTTAGAAGAATAACTACTATTTTACAAAGAGATTAACTCAACCACACTGGAAGGCGGTGGAAAATATAGAATAGTGTGGGAACTGTGTGAGATTATTGATAGATTAGGGTTTTCAATTTTTTTTTTGCTATCTTTCCAGTGAAGCGGTTCAAGTATCAGGGTGTGTGTCTGTGATGCGCTGCTATTTCTTAATATTTATGTCATAGATTTGAATGTCAAACTAAGCTTGCCGTGATTTTAAGTCTACAGTAGAATGAGTTGAACCTTCATGATTGCATTTCTAGTTTATAAACAGCTGGTTTGTGAATGATGTTGCGCCAGCCGTCATTAATTTTTTTGTCGTTTCGAGTTGGATTTTTTTTAAATTAACAATCTATGTATGTTTGCGTGTGTGGATGCTATGTGTAACCAGTTTTACATGTTTCAGCATGGCAGGAACTTAAAATTTGTTAGCGTATTTAATACACTTCCACTCTCTCTCTCTCTCTTTCTCTCCCCCTCTCTTGCATCTATGTGTGTCTGATGAAATTAGATGAAATAAAAATTTCAGGAATCACCGTCGAATTACTGTTCTGTTTGTTGATTGCAAAAATATATACTGTTCCAAGCGTTTGCAAAGGATCGCAATTCATTAAATGGCTCTTAGCAATCAAGTGGAGGACACGGCCTAATTTTTACAAACACTTTCTTTCTTTCTTTACAATAATTTTTAACTACAAAATCATAAGTGTAGAAATTTCAAAAAGAAAGAAAAACCATATTCAAGGTAGTTTATGTATAATCATAATACCCTCTATCACAGTCAGCCATTGTTCTTTTGTGTACTTTCCCTAAAGCAGAATCTCTCAAATTGAAAGCAACAGAGTATCATGTCACCTGGGATAGTCTCGGATTCCATTATTGCTAGCTGCTTATTGACTTTACATCACAATAAATCAAATATTTTATCAAATTTCATTTCTTAAAATAACAAATTTTTAAGTTAAAAAATAATAAAAATTTTAAATAAAATTTCACTGATAATTTAAATAATCTCAAAAATAGAGGCAAAATGCGTGAGCAGCAGAATTGAACCAACATGATCAAAAATTTCCTTATTCTAGAATCCCAGATAACTTGGCCGCTTTGTTGCTGAGTGAGCACAGAACAGCACTTGTGTATGTTTGCAATCGAAATGCAATCTGAAAGTTTGGTGAAATAATGAAAGGGCTCTTGCCTACTTTTTCTCATCACATGAGATTACGCTCTCCTATCACCAAAAGTCTCAGCAGTTAAGATCTGGCACTGAGGTGGCTCTGTTCTCTGGCCCGCTTGCCGCACTCAAATTGTTCTCGTATAGCGAAAAGCGGCCAGAGTTGTCCGTCCCGGACCTCGGGGTTTTGATGTACGCACTTGGAGGAACTAGCCAGTTGGACGCAGAGCCAAGATTGAGGGACGACGGCCTTGGCGGTGATGGACTGCCGTCCTTGCGGCACACTGGGGTGCCCTGCTGCAGACTTACTCTAGTGGCCACCTTGGACAGATTGGACGTTTTCTCTTCCACAGCGTTCGAGCCTGATGGCACGTCTTTCAGCAGAAGGGAGTTGCCTCTCTCGCTGTTCTGCTGCTTCCGATTAGTGTCCGACGAAAACAGCTTCACACGCAACCCCCCGCCAAAGAGCCTGCTCCAGCGGGAAGATGAATGAGATGCTAAACCTCGTCCTAAAATAATAAGCAAAAAAGAGTAATCCAAGAAAAAAGGACATATTTATAAAAAATTATATACTACAATTAACTTCAAAGGATTAATAATTCTGTAATATTAAAATTGTCTTTATAATAAAAATTAGTACCTGATATAGGCACATTTGACTGTTTTGGGCAGCCTCTCTCGCCTCCACTGTCCGAAACGGCATTCTGAAGATATGGAATAGGGGTGGCAGGGCGAATTGCAGTGTTGGGGGTGTGCTGAAGAGAGTCGTGTGACAAGAGAGCGTGGGACTCATTGGCTGAGTCATCTGTGGTGGCCGAGTCTAAATCCATGACCTTGATGCCGTTCTGCAGGAGCTGTGGCGCCGGCTCCATCACCATAAGATTCCGTTCCAGGCATGGATTTCTACCTTGGTATGGCTGAAGGGCTGATGGGAGAACAGGTTGGGTGCTTGCCATTAAAGCGTTTTTACCTGCGTAGGAAAATTAGCCTCTTTTGCATTAAGTTATTTTAAAACTTACAAGTTGGATCGGAAATCACTGGTGGGGGATCTGACGGTGAAAGAGTAACAATTGTCTCGACCGTGCCTTCCGAAACAGTCGACCCAGGCAAATCCTTATCCAAAGTGTTTCTTCTAACGGTGCGTAAATCTACAAATCACAATAATTGTAATCGTCAAAGGAAAAGCAATAAAATGTTTACCGTCTAAATCTGGGAATGTGAGATTCAATCTATTATCAAGCAGCACATTATTACTATTGTTGTTTTCCACAGTGGAGACGTTGTTGTTGTTATTATTGTTGATTGTAGCTGTGGTTTGCGTTGGTAGATTAACTGTGGGACTGATCCCAGATTGGAACAGATTGCCACCTGCAATAAAGTGGGTTTAGCTTTTTGTTGCATGAGGCAAGAAAATAAATTACCTTTAAGCCTCTCCCAGATGATTGGCAATTCTTTAAGTCTTTCCTCGACACAAAGGGCTGTTAGTCGCGCCTCTGCATCCTGGTCCCAACAATCCTCTATGGTCTCACGCAGCAGACGTACACACTGGCTGTCACGCCACTTGTCGGGTAAAAGTGGTCTAGATTTTCTCCTGGACACCAAAACTTGCATGTCCTCAAAAGATGGCCTCAAACCTAATAAAAAAGTATTTATGATTTAAATTTTCAATAAAACTAAATTTTCTTCAAAATAAGCAAAACTTTTTAAATTTGGAAAAGAATAAAAATATAAACCTATTTCCAGTTCAAATGGTAATTTGTATGGTGGCGTTTCAAGCCCGGGTGCGTAGAGATCTGCGCATCTGGTTGACAGTTCCCACAGAACAAGTCCCAGCGCATAAACATCGATTTGCTTCAGGGAGCTCTCACAGTCGCGCAAGTTAACAGCCCCTTCAAGGACTTCTGGGGCCATGTACCTCAAAGTGCCCACCTGAGGAAAGAATTCAAAAGTGGCTGCCAGGGAATAGAAAGTTGAAACTCACGTCATTGAGGGACTTTGTTTCTGCTCGCTGCTCTCCTTCATTTGAGTAATACTTTGAGCCACAAATCTTCATTGCCAGACCCAGGTCGCAAATACAGCAGCTCAGGTCCGGCTTGACAAGAATGTTCCTCGTGTTGAGATCTCTGTGACTCACGCAGGGCTTGCTACTTCCGTCCTCTGCTTGATTAAAAAAATTAATTATAATTCTAATAAAAAAATAATATAGGTACCGAGTTTGTAGAATTCAGTGTGCAAATGGGCCAAACCACCTGCGATTGCAGAGCTCATTCGGCAGAAAGTTGTCCAATCAATAGAAGATTTGCGCAAATAGTCTTGCAGGCATCCAAGGGGGGCGTATGATAACACAAGCATCAGTTCAGTGCCTCCTTCAGGACCTGGTCTCTCATCACAGCCTGCAAAAACGAGCCAATGAAATTGCAAGCTTTAAAAAGTCAAATCTACTTACCAAAATATGTGAGAAGTGCAGGGTGCTCCATGAAAGATAAAGAATAAATGTCTCTTTCGTTGATGAAAAAGTTGCGATAATGGCCGGGGAAAATCTTCACAGCAACTTCTTTATCTCGTAGAGTGGCTCGCCAGACGCATCCGTACCGTCCTTGACCTGCACACAAACAAAGTCCATTAGTATTTTGAAGAGTTAATTTCGCATTGGCATACCAATCACTTCAATGAGTTTCAGATGTTCGGCGCTGTAACCTATAAACGACGAGGTCTCACTGCCGTTTTCCATGGCGTTTGGGTCAGCGGTCGAGCCGGACATCGGGTCCTTCTTTCGGATCAGACTGGCGAGGATGGCCACGACCAATATCACAATTAAAATCGCTCCGGTGGCTATGGCAACATCCAAAATCATCTTCACGTGCCCTTTGAGCTGCTCGGGCGTGCTCGGAGCTGCGATTGAAATTATTTATTTAAAAATACAGGAACAACACAAAAATTGGCATTGGCGCTTACCTAAGCCGAGAGGAGGATCGTCCGCGATGATAGTGGGAGGCGGCACGTAACCGTTGGTCAAGTTCACGTTGCAAAGGTTCCCGTAGCAGCAGCAAAATAAAGTTGAAGCCTTTTTTTGGTGGGCAGTGCAGTTGGAAGTCTCGCACTCGCGCTGCCCTGACATTTCCCAACAACCTGCAACATAAACATACACTTGATTAGCTTTTTATTTTTAAAGACGCAGGCGTGACTGAGATTGAAATTATATTTATTTTTCACCGATACGATCAAAACGTCGAGCCATAAAATTGCATAAAATTGAACATTTAATTCCGTCAAATTTATCTCCGACTCTGCGAAAAAAGTGCAGAAGTCAACGGCCGAGGAGCGAAAAAGTTTGGGCTCGGTGCAAAAATGGCCGACGATGGGAGGCAACGGCAACTTTTTGCAAATCGCGGCGGAGTTTCGTGTCGTGCGAGTGATTTTGGTGCATGCTCGGCTCACGGGTTTTTTCCCTCTACCTTGGCGAGCGAGCAAGCGAGAGAGCGGCCGCCGTCGCTTCAATTTCGCAATACATGCACGCAAAGCATCAAGGCGGCAATAAAAGGAAGAACCCCCTTATTAGGCCCTCCTGTCAAACGCAGTGGGCTATGTAATTGCGACAATTACTGTATGTACCGCTGCAAAGGAGGTCAAATATAGGGCAAACTACTACTGTAGGGAGAGCGAATGGGAGCGATTCACTCGTCAGCCAATATGAATTTATAGTTAAAAAAAATTGATGTAAAAAAGTTAATAGCTTTAAATAAATGGTACATTAGTTTATTAAAACTTGACCAAACCAGAAAAAGGAATTATTGCTACATATTAATTTACATTTGGTCAAACTAGTTAAACAACTTATAATGATAATTTTATATGAGAGCAACAGATTCGAACGTTATAATTAATATGTATATCATGCATGGACATTACCTTTGATTAGGAATTAACACCTAATTTTCTTGCGACACACAAGCTACAACGTTTAACCTTTCATGCCAGTTTGAATTGGATCAGAGTAACCAGCGTCGGAATAATTTATAAGCAAGACGACAAATAAACTAGATTTATTTAGTTATATTTCTAAATATTTTTAATTGTTTGCGTCCAAATTCCAAATACAATTATCCTCTGGCAGAGCACGAGAAAATATATTTATTTGAACTTGTTACTTCATTCTTGTTTTCTTTTAGTTACACAATTAATACAGACCCTACCCTAAGTTGAAGATATTAATATAAATCATAGATTTGTCCCCTCTTAATTCTTCTTGGGTTTTGGGTTTGATTCCCTATATTTATTTTCTTACATCGTCGGATATTCGGTAGAAATCCTTGAAATAATTAAAAAAAGCAGGATTTTAATTAATTTCTTTAATTAACTTCAATCAACTGATCTTTCCAACTCAACCGAAAAACGACTCACTCAATTCGAAAGCCACTGATCGTTTTCCGGTAACAATCAAGCTTTTTAGAGCGCCGAAGGGAATATACATTACATGCTGCAGGGAGCCAGCCAAGTCTCTCTTTTCTGTCATGACTGCTTTTTGCTCCGTACACACACTCTGTACTTTCACGGCAGTAAAACAGCAGCCTCAATTTCGAGACCAACCTGATGCCTCCCCGGCTGATCGTCATTATTTCCGACTGTACTAAAAAAAAAAAAAACAAGAGAAACACGCGAAACATAATTCCTTTGATCAATCAGCAGCAGACGAAAAGAGAAATAAAAAAAATGACGTCTACTCCGGCCGTCCACTTTAATTGTCTATAGACCGATGTGCCGACAAATCGATTATCTGCTCGCTTGATAGTCTATAATGCACCTGTGGGGAGGTCAGCCGGCGGCGGCGGCGGCACCACACTAGACGCTGCGCAGACACCGAATAAATTTCCTCTCTCACTCCCGCCGCTCTTTCTCTCTCTCTCTACATTGTATGCAGCGAGTGTATGTATGTATGTGTGCTTGCATGTGTGCGATAGGGACAAGCCTTTGTCGTCAAATGGTTTTAAAAAAGGGAGCATTGTGCGAAAATAACCGAGTAAGAGCACGTCTGTCTGTCTCCCCTGCCGCCGACCCGCCGCTTCGCGTCCGGCCTGGCGTGCAACAAATTCGCGCGGCTACACGTGGAATTCTCTGACAATTAAACTTGTATATTATTTGAAACGCGCCGCTAACAAGCGACGTTGTTAGTTGTTAGCGGTCGCCGCTCATGCCAGGGGAAAAAATCAATCGCGCGGATTTTCGTGGAAGAGACGTAAGCTCCTTCCAAAGATGCTTTTCCTCACCCGCGACGCAAAAATAAGAGAGCTTTGATGGATTTTTTTTCTGCTTTGCGCGGCGGCACGTGTGTGAGTGTGCAAAGCCGCCTCGTCAAATCCGCTTAGGGAAATTTCTGTGTGTTAGCAAAATATGCGTTGATGTGTGTGTTCCCTCCAGACCCTGCGTTACTCGGAAGCCCTCGGCGCTGCACCCGGGATTTCTACAAATGTGCTGATGGACGCCTGATAAATGGAATGATATATGCAAGCCCGTAAAACTCCCCCCCCCTATTGGTTGTGGAAATTGAAAAAAGGAAATTTACGTCTCGGAAAAAAAATGCAGTTGAACCCAAAACTAAACAAAAGAGGATCACATATTTAAAAACGAAAATCTTTCAAACTCGTGCATTAGCTAGAAATAAATAATATTAAAATTGGAATTTAAAATTTCGTCTAAGAAAAGTTAATCTTTTAATATTTATTTATAGTATTTATAAATAATTCTTTTTTTCCTTGCTGTTTTTAGGATGAAATTAAAATTAAAATTTAATTGCAATCTCATTTTTTTACACCAGATAATATGCAGAAAATTATTTAACAAGCGCTTCGAATTGGAAGTTTCTTTAGTTTCCCTAAAACTTTCAGCACAGATGAGAAGCTGACTGAGCCGTTTCTTGTGTTTTGATAGATTCAAATCTGCGATACAGCGATTAACGAGCGAATTATTCAAATTTGCACGGTGCGCCGTCCGCTTTTTTGAGGCGGCCAACGCGTCCTTCCCCGCGATATTATACCTGGAACTCATTACCAATGCAATACATTTGCAACTTTCGGACGAGCAAAAAAGGGACCAGAGGCGACCTGCACGCCGCGCACCAGCAAACCGACGGGGAGACACACACAGCGAGCGTGTGTGTAAAATCAATAGCAGCAAGTCTGGTGGGCAACTTGTGGAACAGGTTAAGTGCAAATTTAAGTGACTGACTCACATTTCCAGCTCGCACGCTTATTATGTTGCCCTGCACACAAAAGCGGGCGACCAAGTCACGGAAAATCCCTCCCTCGGAGACAAGAGAAGCCCGAAATAGTTCAATCCCGGCAGCACTTTGCATTAATTGCGGCCGTGTGTGGCGAAATTAATTCAGAATGCGAGGAGATGAGCGACACGAGAGGAAATAATCTGGGGATGTAATTTGAATTGCATCGAGAGAAGGATATAAACGTAAAAAATAGGACTTACGATGAGGCATTCTCAAAATAGAACAGTAATGAATATTATATCTCATCAGAATCATATGAAAAGTTGCAATTGCATTATAAATTTAATAAAACACGTCTTATCTTATGACACGTGTTGACGTTGCTGCTTTATCAAGACTAGACAAATGCAAATGCAACCTGCATGACAGGTCTGTAGAGAAATTGCATATATCGTCTAAGGTGTAATATTCGTAATATTTAATTTATATGCAGAGAAAACGCATTTAGTAATTTATAACAGCAAAATCTATAATTAAATTAAAAAAAAATTTTATTCTGGGGATGAAATTTTGTTCAAATTTAATAATCTTCAATTTCAAATCAATTTGTGAGCGGGGAAGAGATTCTTTCCCTCATTGAGATTTAATAGTCGAGGATTTTGAAATGGATTAAAAAAGGGCAAGTGTGCTCCATTATTTTCTTTGTCTCTTTGGTGTGAAAAACTTATTTAGGCGCTTTTTCAGAAGAGAAACCTCCACATTTTTTAGATTATATGATTTAAAAGAGATTGAATAGGATAAGAAGGTTTTTCATCCATGCATTTTGGCAGAAACAAAAACTCATCATGCACGATTTCATTTTGCAATTTAAATTCTAAAAGCAGCTCTCAGAAGTCACCGAATCAACCCCCTGCGACGATCGTACCGAAATACACGTGCCGCGTATTTCACTTTTCCCTTCATTTCTGCGGTCGGGCGGGCGACACAAGAAGAGTGGTTGAACCGTGCAAAGTGGTCGTCTGTCTATTGCTATGAAACGGAGGCACGCGGGGCATAATCGTTTCCACGTATAAGTGCTCAATTAGCCGAGTGGCTGACAGAACAAAACGCTCCCGCGCACTAATTGCTTCGCAGAAGCGGCGAACAATTTTGCGAATTCAAATGAAAATATATATATTATTGCAGTCGCGCGCTGCCGGCGAGACGGCTGCGAAAAAAAAGTATCGAGGCGCGAGCGAGTGAGCGAACGCACTTGCAACAAGGACGGAAATAATACAGACACCGGATGGGAGTAAATAAAACAATTCCAATATGACGCTATGCAGGTGAGCTGCACCGAGAGAGTTTTAATCTGACGGCGGCGATCTCTCGCGAATATTCGCGCTTCCTCTTTGCATAAACTGCGATTGCGTGATGCCCGAAAACGATTAGGCAACGAAAATTGCCGGCGAGAGATAACGTCGGCGGATTTCGTGCATGCGTCTGTTTTTTTTTACGCCCAGCCGACTGCGATTGCACAATCGCTTAAATAAAGAACTTTGCCGTGATTTCAAAAGAAACCGACGAAAAATTTTGAGGCTAAATTAATTGCACGTCGATCGATCCGGAGCATAGATATTTTTGATTCGCGAGAAGACAGTAAAAATAATGTTTTGGAAGAGTGGCGGTTTAAGCTGCATTAATTTATAAATTGCATGAAGGAGTAAAAATCAGACAACGATATTTGAGTATTTTGTTAATTTTTGTTTAAACTATCGAAAAATATTAAAATTAATCTTCAGGATTTGAAAAAAATTTGCTGATTAAAAATTGAATTAAGTTTTTTCAAATAATTATCTATGGTTTTATTTCAACCAGACTTTTCCATTTTTATATTCAAATTTGAATGTTTTGAAACTGCAATTTTAATCTTCAAATAAATTCAAAATGAATTTGACTAAAGAAGATGCATTTTAATACATCAAAATTTAATAAATTTTAAAGCTTTTTTTTATAATGGACTTTCACCATTGATTTCTTAATAATTTTAAATCAGATAATGCAGTTTTTTTCTTTTTGGACCAATTTTGTCAAACACTAAAACGCAAAAAAGAGCAAAAAGCGCTTTCTGATTGCTTTACATTTAACAAACTGAATCTAATGAAGTAGAGTTTGCGATTCCATATTTTAAACAAATTTCGAGCTGTTTTCTTTGGCATCAGTCATACCTTATAATGAAACTACATTTCAAAAGCGTTAAATTAAGATTTAAGATTTCTTTGCCGATTTGGTTTGATTTGTAATTTTGAAAACTCTTAAGTTTAACTTCCTGGAGTTCAAAAGCCATTTCAAAATGTTCATAAAGTTGAATCAAGATTATTTTATACATTTGATTCATGTCAGTTCCTGCTGCATTTATCAAGGATTATATAAAAAATTTCCAAAATGAAAAGCTTTTGATAAAACTTGAGCTGCGTGAAAAGGAATTTGCTCTCAAGTTGACAAAAAGAGTGACCACGACCACAGCATCGCCTTTTGACGCTTTGTTGATACTGCGGCAGCTCGGGTGAAATTCACACCTGAGAGCGCTCTTGTAACTCAAGCGACTAAATGGGCGCGGGTGCGAGCGGAAAATTATAATGTTTCATCGCAGCTCCGGCTGGCTCGGCTGGGTGAAGCCTCTGATTCTGCTGGCTCGGCGACAGCGAGTTCGCTTGTGGGTCTCGTTGGCAGTGCAATTGGAAACAATGGCCAATTAATTATTCCCGGCTTGAAGTGCGAGTACAAGAGAGCATAATGATGACAATAATCACCAGTGACATCATGCAATAAATACAAAGTTGGGTCGCTAACCTTGTCGCCGAAACGCCCGCTTTCTCGCTGCGTTATTTCGGCGAGGAAAAAGAACGAGGGGCAGCAGTCGTGCCTCAAAGTTTGCGTCACCGCCAAAGTTTGCTCAGTTTTCAGTCGGCGATGACCGTTGAAGGAAAAGAAATTTGCAATTTATATTTATGAGTAATTCGACATGTTTAAAATTTTTTCCTTATTTGAAACGGTAATAAAAAATCTGAAAGTTTCAGTTATTTTTATGACATTTTTAGATAGGATGTCTAGATTTTATGTATTTAAGGATATCATATCACAAAAATGCTTAAATTCCTAGAAAAATGATAAAAATCAGGGGCGGATTCGGTCTGTTTTGATTTTAAAGTTTAACAAGCAAAATTCGTGCCGTTATTTTCAACAATTCTTTTTTCCAATATTTGAAGAAAGAAATAAAGTGATTTGAAAAATATGAATAAACATAAAAAAAATTTCAGCAATTCAGAATTAAAATTGCTTTCTTTCTAATTTGTGAAAATCTCACCAAAAATAATTGATTTTTCGCAGTATTATGAATTTTAAATTATCCAAAAAATAAAAATTTAATATAAAAAACTACCAACCCTTCAGCTATATTTTATATCACATTTCAAAATGTTCGTCGTGTCTGGTGCATCCGCGGAGCGATGGTAATCGAGCCAAGTGCGACCGAGATAAAAAAAAAATACATAAAAGCAGCAGAACGGCAGCTATACTCGAGCAACTAACTGGACCATTAATCCCGAATAAAGAGCCCGAGTGTTAAAACGCAATTATTTTCATGTGTGCCTTGGCTGCGGCTGTAAAAATTAATCAGGCGGCTGCAATGCAAACCGGGAGGAGCGCAGCTCGCTCGGTCTCTCGACGGACTCGACTTTGCACCTATCGCTTGCCGATGCAAAATCCGCTGACGCCCTTTTCATAATGCTTGTACGTGTATGAAATGTACATACTGTAAGTACACACACAGTCATACAGACAGACGTTGGCCTTCTATTTTCGAGCCGCGCGCGCGTTTCACAACCACTTGCACAATTTTCTTTCTTTTTTTCTCTGCCGCTGCTAATTTTATCTCTTTCATTGTGGTCGGCAAATTTTCGGGCGACGCCGCCGCGCTCAACTCTTCACTGAAAAGGTGACTGATCTTATCGGCATCAAATCGAACCTGGTCATTAGCGGTATTGCTTGTACATATGTATAAGTACTCGAGATTTTTGTCTTACTACTCCACGGCGAGGAGGGGGAAAGGGTAAATTCTTCAAAATAATGTTTAACTGCGAAACCAAGAGCGAGAGACTTATGATTCGCTTGATAATTAATAATGAATTATTTTAAACCGCAATCCCATGCGAAAAAAATTATTTAAATTGAAGGTAAAAATATTTAAAAAATTTCTTGGGGTCATCAAATTTAAACTTGATGAAAAAAAAACTTCAAAAAATGGTGTCAAAAATTATGCAGTATTTTTAGTCCTACATTATCATAATATCTCTTCCATCAATTTTCGTCTCGATTTCAAATATTAATGAGAGAATTGACGTAAATAAAATGAAGGATAATAAGAGAGAATTATTTTTAAGCAGAAGTTATTTTAAACTTTAATATTACTTGGAATATTTTAAATTGAATAATTTGCAAGTCAATGAGCACCCAATATGGCCAGTATTGATTAAAGATTATTGAATAAATGCCCTACCAAAAAAAGGTTGTCAAAAGTTTAGATTATTACATAAAAACAACGCAACCTGCTTGACACTGTTGTGGGTAGGGTTGCATAAAATCTAAATATTTGTTGGTGCATTCATCGCATTTTGTTTTGCTAAACAAGTTTTTTTTTGTTATTTGGTCTCTTTAGAAGACTAAACAAAATTTTCTTATTTCCTTATAAAGATTTTATAAAAAGAAAGTTAAATAATCAAAAGATTAACAAAAATTCAAAATTATATTTTTTAGCATTGCGAATTTTTCTTGTACTCCAGCATTTCAGTCTGGCCGTCTACTGTGCTGCAGACGCGCGCCGGCAAAAAACCGATGCACTTGTCGGACGGCGTCAGGATTTCTCGCTCTAAAGATAGCTTTAATTAATCCGAGGGAGTGCAGACGTCAGCCAGCGGCTCTCGCGCACTCTCGTGTACGTACGCATCAAAATTTTGAAATTTTCTCTCTAGCGTGTTGGCGCCGAGTGGACGCGGGCGCGTTTTTAATGCAATCAACATTCACGACTGTCATCACATGCACACGCTGCGAGAATTTTATTTTTAAGAGCCGCCGCTTTTATCGCTCTCCATATTAAGCGCGCAGCTTAAGAGCCGACCGAGACTTGCATTCTTATCACAGACGAGAGGGAGGAGGAGGAGGAGGAGGCTGCTGCTGAATTTATGGGTCGCATATCAAACGTGCGGCGTCAAAACTTTTCACGACAAGTGTTGGCTGCACTTTCTGTCTCGGCCCTTCCTTTTAAGTGATTCCAGTTTACGACGACGCTCGGTCGCTGCTCTACTCACCCTGACTAATGATGATTTGATTTCCGTCTTCGTTTTCAGTCCAAAGTGTGAAACAAAATTGGCTTTCTTTTTCATTCGGACATGTGATGGTGCCGCTTTCTGGTACCTAAAACACAATTCATTTTGTTTTTAATTCAGAAAACAAATTATTGTCAGATTATTTCCAAAATTGGATGGGCCTTAATTTTAATTCTCGAGGACCGACTAACAATTAAGCATTCAATATTGATTATAAATAAATACATGTCTGCGTTTGTGCACAAAAAATTTGTGAAAAAATTGCAAGATTCTTATTAAAAATGGTAAGCAAAGGATTACAGAAGCATTGATAGAATTCAGTAGCTTAGATATTAAAGTTATATTTTGCAAAAAAAAGTTTATTTAGTTTTTCTAGAGATTGTAAATAAACAAAATATTTCAGATTTAATTCTAGATTATTAAAATTACTTCATAAACATTAATAAATTTTTTTAAATAATTATTAAGTTTTTTTTGTCACACAAATAAATTGTCACTCTGTTTTCCTTCAGAAAAGAGAGCAAGAAAAAAATGTAGTCACCTCAAGTGAAGAAGAGTTTGTAAACTGGCTGGTTGTATTCCTAAAAGCACACTGCAGCGGCTCATCATGACCAAGAGCAGCTGAAAACAAAAACAATGCATATTATAATATCCGCACGTATTTTTCTGTCTCGGCTGGTGCAAAAGCAAAACAGCCTTGGAGTGGAACACCGTCTGGTGTCAAATTTTGCTGCTGGGTAATCCGGCACCACCTCGTTAAACCAGAAATGCATTTTGTCGGCGGGGCGGAATCGGCCCGCGGTCATCGAAGAAGTCAACTCACCCTTGCAGACGAACAGGGCCAGCAAGAACACGGTGGTGATCGTCGTTGCCATGACTGGGATTTTCAGAGAAAAATGGCCATTGTCAGCACCTCGCTGATCCGATGTAATTCCAGACACTGCGAATCATAATTTGCGGAGGCGACCGTGAGAGATTAGGCTGAAATCGGGGCTAATTAGCGGGTGTCTTACATGACCATCCGAACGGGCGGCAACATTACACAGCAGACGGAGCAGCAAGGCCGTCCACTGTCTGGGCCTCGGCCCCGCGATCACGACGAATGCGGCAATTAAAATTGGGACGTGCCTCGGCAAGCATTGATGAGCGGTCGGCGCAACATTCGGGCCTAACGTTCACGTCAAATCGAAGGCACGCCAGGGAGACGACGACGCAGAGAGCTGAGTGCGGCGGCCTAGACAGCTTAACTGGATCTAAAAAACTAACGAGATCCATAAAAAGTTGACAATTCTCCCCCTTCTGTCTGGAAAGTGAAAATGAACTCGTCCACCGTCTGCCCATTCAAGGTCACCCGAGCTCGCGCGCACCACGATGCGCGATTGTTTCTGCGAGGCGCCATTCGTCTGGGTCACAGACCCCGCGGTTCCTGCCCCAACTTTTGGAATCGCAGTTCATTTCAGGCTACCGCACCTTTTATATCCATTCCACCTATGCTTGCATGCAGAGATGAGAGTTTACATCAAATTTTTTTCAAAAACAACCCGGCCTGTGATCACACCAGAGGGCCGGATGCATTGCAATTATTGCATTTTGTATTATTATCATGATAAAAAATCGCGACATAACATTTTTGTTTTTCCTGTAGCCCTTCAGTGTTTGCTTTTCACACGTACAGTGTACTTCATAATATTACTCATTCACAAAGATAAAATTACTCCAAGCAAGGCAATAGTAGATATGAATGAGAAAAACAATTTACAAGGTGTATCTATCGAGATGACACACACCCCGATTTCAATGAAAATTGGTGTACAACTTCTAATACCCATAGGTACCCCAGACCCAGAACGGCTATTGATTTTTGCCCAATTTTCCTCGTTTAATTTTTGTCATTTAAACTACATGTAATTTGAATTACATTGTAGAAATCGGATGTAGGCAAATTTTATACACAGAGGACGCTTTTGTTGCCTACATTTGATAGTTTTTAACATGCTTTTTAATGTAAACTATCCTCCCTTGTGAAATTGGGCAACTTTTTGATAGCCATTCCAGAACACCCAAGGGTAGTGCAAGTTGCATACCAACTTTCATCAAAATCGGCGTGTGTCATCTCAATAGCTTACCTTATTGTTAGTGTCATGTTTGCTTTTACTAAAAAATCTATACCATATTTGGTTTTTCATTGATGGTTTTGTCGACACAATGTTTATAGAAAATAAAAAGAGTATTATTATTAAATTTTATATCATTTTATAGCCTTTCTAATTATCAATTTAACAACTATTCTGATTTTGTTCCTACACAATTAAGTTTAATAAATTATAAATTTAATTTCAGGATTGTAAGTCGATCTCAATATTTCCACTAGGATTTGCATCAACTAATTTAAGTTCAATAAATTTCCAAGATTAAACTTAATCAGAGTTATTTTATTCAAAGGAAACAATCAACCTGGTGTGTGATTCCTAGCCTACATGCATCCAAAAAGAAACGATGACAATTCCGTTTTTGCAACAGCAAAGGTGGAATAAGTGACAGTAAAATAAAATTATTTTGAAAGAGGATTGATGATGATGACCTATATGAAGAAATCTTTGCAGGTTTCCTGAAGTCCATTTTTTCCGGTATTCGCATTACTTTTGCAAAGCCAACAAAACATTCTCTAACGTACAATCACAGGCACTAAATTCTCATTAAACTTTTTATAACTCCTCCAAAATTTTGTCACCGAGTCTTATATAAATTTCATAGCCCCCGCACTGGCCTTTTGCTTAGTTAGTCTCGTACTGCTTTGCTGATGTCACTACTTTTCCTTTTCCTTGCCCGACATTATAGCCTTGACGTCTTCAGCGTCCAAAGTCTCATACCTCATCAGCGCTTCTGCCAGCAGATGATGCTCCTTCTGGTGGCTCTTGAGGATTGCTTTGGCTCTTTCATAAGAATCCTGTAAAAAGCACAAATATTTTAATATATAAATTCATTTCCGCAAATGCTGCAATACCTGAAGAATTTTCTTGATCTCGGAATCAATCATTTCAACGGTTGTTGAGCTGAGGTCGTTGACAGAAACCAAAGAACTTGCATTTTCTTCAATTGTACGAAGACCGGCTTTTTCAGACATGCCCCACTGTTTGACCATGTGAGTGGCTAGTGATGTGGCTTGCTATTATTAAAGAGTAAGAAACGGAATAAAATTTAAGTACTAAATGCAAACCTTCAGATCGTTGGATGCTCCAGAGGTAATTTTGTCAGGGCCGAATACGAGTTCTTCGGCTGCTCGTCCACCCATCATCGTGTCCATCATTGCAAGCAGCTGCGACTTGGTAACATGGTATCTTTCCTTTTCAGGGATGTAAGCAGTCTAAAAAATTAATTAATATAATTTAAAATTTGCCATCAAAAAATTTTTCAATGTTGTTAATATTTTTTCCTTAAATTAAGATAAATTTTATAAACCTTACATGGCCAAGAGAGGGTCCACGAGGGATTATCGTGACTTTGTGCAAGGGATGCGATTCTTTTGTGTAATAAGCGACGATGGCGTGACCACCCTCGTGGTAAGCTGTGATCAAGTTGGCTTCTTCGTCAGGAATGCGCGATTTTCTCTCAGGACCTAAATTGCACCATTTTAGTTTTTACTTATATTACAAGGAGACTCGAACCTTACCCATCAAAACTTTATCCCTGGCAATTTCCAAAAACTTCATCATGACTGAATCGGCACCGTCCATTGCAGCTCGTAACGCTGCCTGGTTCACCATGTTCTCCAAATCAGCGCCAGTAAAGCCTGTCGTACCTCGGGCAAGCAGCTCTACGTCAACTTCTTTTGAAACTTTGACCTTGCTGAGGTAGTGGTCCAGGATTTCCTTGCGTCCTGTGTAGTCTGGTGTTGGCACCTGCACTTCAACGTCAAACCTGCCAGGCCGTAGCAGAGCTTTGTCCAAGTCATCTCGTCTGTTAGTAGCTCCAAGTACGATGACTCCTTCATTCTGATGAAAACTGTTAAAAAAATTAAAAATAATTTAATAATAAGTAGGTCAAATTTGATAGGTTCAACATACCCATCCATCTCTGACAAGAGTTGATTTATGGTCTGATTTGCATAAGGATGAAGGACGGAAGTTGTCCTCTTGGCTCCCACCGAGTCGATTTCGTCGATGAAAATCACACAAGGAGCTCTATCCTTTGCAGCTTCTGTAATCCATAATTTAAAAACTACTTCTGTGTTTTATCATTTTGTTTGCTCACTGAAGAGATCTCGGACTCTTCTTGCACCTTGGCCCACAAGAATCTCATCAAATTCGGGTCCTGCTGCATGGAAAAATGGCACTCCGGCCTCTCCAGCAACCGCACGAGCCAACAAAGTCTTGCCAGTGCCTGGAGGACCGACCAGCAAAACACCTTTTGGCAGTTTTCCTCCCAGGGTCTGGAACCGTTCAGGATTCTTCAGAAATTCAACCACGTCTTTCAACTCCTGCTTTGCTTCGTCTGCCTAATTTCATAATTATTTTGTAAATTGCACGCTTTTACAATAAAAGCAAATATTTACTCCTTTGACATCATCAAAAGTCACATGAATATCCTCGGGGTCAACTTCTGATTGATTGCCAAGCTGAATTCTGAACATGGATCCACTCAAGCTAGCTGCATTTTTATATAATAAAAATTTATTACACATTTCATTGATAAAGCATACCCATCAGTGAGATGATGACTCCCAGGAAAAGGAAGATCGTCAATAGCTGCTGTGTAACTTTCAGCCATTTCATAGTACGGCCTGGTGTTTTTTTGTTGTCCGCTGCAAGGTAACCTTCGGCAAAAGCAATTTTGATGCTCTGCTGCTGCTCCGGTGTCAATGATTCAAGTGTAGCTACTCAAATACACAATAAGAAAGTTGAATTATTGATTATTTTTTCTCACAAGCACCTTTTGTAATTCCTATAGTGCCCAGCTCTCTGCTCTCTGGCTTCACTTTTTCCGTCTGCATTGGTGCAAGGGCAATGCTGTCTTTGATACGAGAGACGAGGCTTGGGTTTCGAAGGCTCTCCGACTTGATGCTACGTTCTGTTCTAAAATTCCGCACATGGACATCTAAATTTTTGAAAGGTTAATTAGCATCGTTATAATAAAATTAAACTTTAAATTTACCATAAATAAATGGCTTAAATTTAAACGCAAGGAGGTGCTGCTTCTGAGGGTATGCATTTGCTTTATCTGTGTTAAATGAGCCAGAAGACACGTAAGACAAATTCCATTGAGTCGGCTTCAATGTTCTTTTTGGGCTCAAAGTGATGATGTTGGACTTCAACAGGGATGAGCATAGATTTGCGTCCAACGTCAAAACCTTCGACTGAGACTCTGAGAAGTTCTTCACAGCCTGGAAAAATAATTGATCAGTTTTTTCAATTCCTTCTTTTTGTTCTAGAAAAAACAAACCTCCAGAAAACTATCTGGACAAATAACCCCCTTTAAGGCGCTACTTTCCGCACGATTGGCTGCTTTCTTCTGACTGCTTTTCTTGGACTCGAAACAAATCGTGGGCAAGCCTGGTCTGCGAGGTGTGATGGCGCTCACCACCTGGCTCAGGTGAAAGACAGCCTAGAACAAAAAGATCTTTAAATTTTTGTCCCGACGATGATGTAACAGATAGGCAGAAAATAAAGCACTTTGGCAACTTGCGATGACGAACCTTTGTGTGCCGATTACGACAGCGAAACTCACCTGATTTTGATACATTCCGCCAAGTTCGTAAGAAAATTTATTCGGAAAGCGTTTAGGCCCTGAGGCCTGGACAGAAAGTGCGAAGAAACCTGCTGGACGAGTTGTCAATTCTTTCACCCAAATTTCGGCTACCTCCTGACCGTGGCCATATTTCTCGATCAACAAAAAAGTGAGCATCGCGACCCTTCTAGCACATGTTGACGGACACGCCCACTTTTGCGGTTCGAATTTAATCATAATTCTCTCTGAAAAACTTTCGGATTTTGCCAAATTTGAAGCGAATTCGGACTAAAATGGACGCATCGGGTAACAAACAACTTTCCTCGGCGCAGAAGGAAGAACTTATGGACCAGGTGAAACAGCAAATGGCCATAATGACTGCTCAAGAACTCCTCTCCGTAAGTTGCTGATGAAATAACAAAGCTCGCTGTAAATTCATAAATGGATTTTATTCCTGCAGAAAATGACTGAGAAGTGCTTCAAAAAATGTGTCACGAAACCTGGCACTTCATTAGACAGCTCTGAACAGGTAATTTATTCCTAATCTAAAATAAAAATCTTATAACCATAAATTATTTCAGAAATGTGTTGCCATGTGTATGGATCGGTTTATGGACAGCTTCAATTTGGTGTCAAGATCGTACAGCAACAGATTACTTCAAGAGCGAAATAATATGTAAAGGATGAGATAGACTCTGTGAAAAATCTAGTTATTTTTCAAGTGCGTTGAATGATGCATTCATTGTTAAATTACATAATATATTAGGGAATCTATCAAAAAAGTTTTACTCCAGCATTGTAGAATATTGGCGTCACCTGGCACAGACCTTGAAACTTGTTTTTGGGATGCCTGTATTTTACTTCCAAACAGGATACATCCTAAATATCCTCACTTAGTGGGTTGTGTGTTGTAGTGCCCTTATTCACAGTCAAGGAAGGAAAGAAAGAAGTGCAAAGTCTGAAGATGAATGTGCACAACCATGTCCGTTTTATCGGCAGCAAAAATAAAAGAATATAATAAATAATATAAAAACTCATTTGATATTTTATTATTTAGGAAGACAAATTTTTTTATTGAACTTGTAATAAAATTATAATATTTTGTAATTTTGATACCATATATGATTCAATTTTCCTTTTTATTTAAAACTTTTTAATGCAGCTTTGAATCACATTAACTTATATTCTTTTAAGATTTTCGGTCCTCTTTTTTTACACCTGAGCATGCAATGTTTGTTTTTTCTTATGTTTTTATGGCAACAAGATTCCTAAAAATATGTGCTATTCGGAATATTAAACATATTTTTTTAATTTACTAACTTAGATCATGTTTCAATTGCTATAAAATTGAAATTTTTATAATGAGTATTTTATATTCTAAGCATTGGCCAATTCAATTTGTAATACAAAAATTTTATTAATAATCTTGCTGTCACAGAAATAATTACGTTAAGGTCAAAGACGCAAGCAGAATGCCCTAAACGTGAATTTCGGGACTGCTCAAAATTTTAGATTTTGGATAAAGTCAAATAAATCTTATTAATTAATGACTAGGAAATCTTTTTGAATGCATGCAATTATTTATTTAATAAATATTTGAAAAGACATCACCTGAATCACCTGAATTAAATCGCTACTTGATTTTTTTTATGCATAATACATCCAAGTACTGAAGATTTATCTTTAGAAATTTGTTAACCGGAATACAATATTATATATTATTTAAATTTTTTTTTTTTATAAAATAGTAACAAACGTTTGAAATTTTTCTCATAAATGATCAATATTTTAAATCGTGTTTTATGTTACAAAAATCAATTGTACAATCAGATTCCATTATTTAAACTTTAAATTGCTGCAGCAAAAAGCTCTCTTTCATATTAAATCCATCCGTCAATGTGGTTCTTGCATCGCTGATTCCGAGACGATTAACTCTTATTTAACTCGCGCAGGAGCATTTTCCGACAAAAGTCTTTTTTTTATCGTGCACGTAACGCCTGAGAAAATCTTTCTAGCGTGCACGGCGTATACAAAAGCAAAAGCCGCGTAGGAGAGCGCATTTTTGTTTGGCCTCGGAAAAAAAACGGATAAAAAGGCATTGAAATGATTGTTGAAAATCACAGCATCCAGTAGCCCCCTATTATTATACACATTCGGAGGCAGAGGCGCAGCATTGGCTTATTATTTATTGTGATGCAGCAGTGAAATATATTTCCTAGCGTGCCCAAGTGTGGAAAGATGGAAGCCTATATGCGCGCGGCGATAATAATATAATGAAACTCTCGCACAATGAAAAAGTGAAACAGGTTTTTCTTTGGCCCGGCATCGGCAGGAGGGCCGAAAGAGCACAAAAAAAATAAGAGGAACAAGAATGAGAGAGAGATGCACAGGTAGAGGGGGAGGGAGGGGGCCGCGGACACAGATTATACCTGGCCGCAAGGTGAAGGAGAGGTGCCTCGGCTGGAGCGCATACCTGAGTCGTTGCCGCTTTAGTTGTTAGTCGAGAAAATTGAGCGGTACGTGTGTTCGTGAATGTGAGTCCGTCGAGGCCAAGATGGAGGAGTTAATTTCGGACAGCTAGCGCGCGTGTGTCCGTAATTAAAGGAAGTATGCACCAGGTGGTGAGTGTTGTGAGGGAGGGTGTCCGCGACCCCTCGCTGCCCCCGGCGCTGCCCCCGCGACCGCCGCCGCGGCCGGTGGGCGCCGTGGCTGTTCTGCATATCGAGCCTGCCGTTACTGTTGTGACCACCTCGCCACCCACTCCGGGACATTACGAGCCGCCCCCGGACCATGTTCACCACAACCCTTCAGGTGAGCCACATGCAATCTGATAAATTTCCATTGCTAATTTATTCGCGCGGTTTTATTGGCGTAAAATAATGCGGTTTGTGGGCTGGAAATTTGTAAAATTTAACTTCATCGTGCTTTGAGGTACATTAAGTTGTTAATTTATTTATGGAGACCCTTTAAATATTTTACTTTTTTGCAGATTTTTTATTATTCCGTTGCCCTGATTTATTTTATGATTATTTTATTGCTTTTTGTTTTGAATAAACAATAATCGCAGCGGGAGACGCTAGCTATAAAATTTAATAATTATCATAAACTTAGATAAACTGTATCATAAAAATTTTTTGCTGAGAGTTCATTTTTTCTTCTAATGTATTGTAAAATTAAAATAGAAAAAAAATCAATTTTAGTTTTACGAATAAGATAGATATAAATTTAAATTGCCACAATTTTGATTACAAAAATTGATTATTTTTAGTCCCTAATCTTCTGACCTTTTTAAAATTAACTCTCATGCTCATTAAACATTAATTTTATTCATTTCAATTATGATTTATATTTTTGCATTTATCATTTTATTAATTTGGACGTCCTCATTATTTCAATTATCAATAGTCCTCATTAGTTCTCATGTCCTCAAAAGCGCCTTCCTCAATTTACTCCATTTGAAATTGGACTCGAATAGATGGTTTATTTTTTCCCTCTGCGCTGCACCGCTCGTTATCTCCTCAATTGTCGGAGTCTACATAGCAAAAGCTGATCTCCACCTATCGAGTTCAGATTTTCATATGTGGGCTTGATAGCATCTTGTTTGTGCCATTAATCTGAAAAAAGAGAACGTTTACGGCTTATTATGTTATAGATCTTTATAGACAAGGCAGAGAGCGCGCGAGCTCTATGACTTTGTGTGTGACCTACATGCACATACCAGCGTTCAGCAAAAGGAATTCTTTTTGAAAGTTATTTTTGTTGAAATATTTTGTGCATAGTTTTGAGCGAGGGCGTTTGAAAAGCAACAAACGTGAATGGGATTTCCTTCATTACCAAGTGAGAGTACAAAGACTACAAAGCTTTGTAATTTTATGAATTATAGCACACGCCGTCTGACTCATAGAAGCGCGACGCATTCGTGACAAAGTATGTATAATTGTCAAGCAAGATATCTACTTAATAAACTAGGGCCAAATTACATTATAATTTAGAACTTTCCCATTATAATACAATTCAAAAATATATTCAAAAATATTATTACCATTTTTTTTTAATAAAATATATATAAAATTATTGAACATGCATAAAAATATTAAAAGTGAAATTGAAGTTACATTACTTAATTTTAATTTGTAATGAAACTCATCAAATTATACTCTTTGACCTTTTGATATTTTTGCAACCATTCGTTTCTAAAAGAAAAAAAAAATAATTGAAGACACAATAGGATGTAAATGTAAAAGGGATAAACAACAATAATAATTATTAAAAATTATTTGATCATGACACAACAACATAAAGGAAAAGATTTAAAATTAAACTGCTCAATGAACATGAAAATTGTAAAATTTTAATTTTAAACTCTGTTTGCTAATTAATTTGGTAAAATTTTCACCTCCTCCTATCTATTTATTGATAAAGTGAAAAATGCAAGTTTAAAAAAAATGAAGGCTTAAAATTATTATTTAAACTTGAAATTCAAATTACCTGTTATACAAGAGTCTGTTAAAAAATAAACCTGCATAAATTCACATCCTCTGGACCTGCTCTGGACCTTCCAAGTTAAAAGAACCTCAGAAACCACCGCCTCTGCCTTTGGTGTCGAATGATCAAAGCAGGCCGATTTCCCGGCAGCATTTTCCGCAACCAGACCTCTGTCGGCCGAGTGCCAAACAAAAAGGGTGCGGGTTGGGCTGGAGGGTGAGCGAGGGAGAGTGCGCAGCTCTGCTGGTTGCATAATAACAAAAAGAGAGAGGGGTTGGTATCTGGAACGCGCGGCGTTCTCCAGTCCAAGTGTGGGTTTCGCTTCGACAGCAGCAGCAGCAGCCGTCGAGCTTTTTGCCAGCAGGCGTTGCTTGCACGCCGCGATGATGATGCAGGGCATACCCTTCATGCAGGTGCTCGAGTACAGGTTGCCCGCCGGCATGCACCCTTTGGTCGAGGACCCCTCTCTGCAGCACCTCCACCAACTGGCAGCCGCAGGTATATTTCCGACTTGATTTGCTCTCCGAAAAACAAACCCCTCGCATCAGATGATCGATATTTTTATTGTTTGTGACACGCAACGGTAATCGCTCTTGATGGGATTGGGTCGAGGCCGAAAAATAATTCATGGGGCGAGCGTGCGAATTTTTGCGATCGACGCGCACACACCGTGTTGACTCTGCGAAATTGATGGCTCGCCATTAGTTTTGATTAATTGGAGCGCATTGTGGCGCCTAATTGATGTCGACAGCCGGAATTTCGATGGTGCTTATATAAATGCGTGTTGGATTCAATTCAGTTTTATTATCATTATCTCCCTGGGCCTGGGAATTGTGCGCGTTGAATTGATAAAATAGAGAACTCGTCCGGCAGGAACGTGTGTGTGTGTGCATAATTGTGGGTCGTATTGCGATTAGCTGGTGCTGCGCCACAACGACCTGCCTGTAAAATTTAATTGGGATAATTGATTCGCTGTCGATAACAAGGTGACCAAAATCTGACCGCAAAATGCTCTGGCGGCGCGCGAGGGGTAATTATGTTGTTGACAGTTTAGAAACTAAATGGGGAGCTGCTAACTTATTACTGTGTATTAATTGCTGGGTCCATTTAATAAAATAATTTTATGATTTTTTTACCTTTTGCCAAACACCATGGATATAGCTTTCCTAAAAAATAAATAATCCATATTGTATAAATACTAAATATTAGTCGGACTGTGAAATACACTTGAATTATATTTTCTTTGACTGAGGCTCTTATTTTATGAAAATAGATTAATAATTTATTATTGTTATTTGAAATTTGAAATATTCTATAATTTGATAAGCCAAACCAGGAAAGTTCATGATATTGCTTCAACAAATTAAATTGTTATAACGAATGATTGGGATACAGTCGGGATATTTATGTAGAAACTATAAAGCATTTTGCTTATAAAAAAAGCTATCACTAGTTTCATAATTGTTAGTAAAAGGAAAGATAATAATAGAAATAATTAAAAATGTAAATAACTTATTTTATTACTAAAAAAGGTAAAATAGCATTTATGTTGAAAATCAAAATCATATTATATATTTGTATTATTTGTTTATTTTATTTTAAAGTTGTAAATAAAATGAAATTTTAATTTTTTTGTCACTTCTTTCTTTTTAATGAACTGGCTTGTTTAGCGAACTGCGAAACAGACTTATTTGCAGTACGTTTGAAGCTCGTAGTGACATTGCCTGGGGAGAGAATAATTTTGCAATTTCACGCGCGAAACTCAATTTTTGGCCGAAATCTAATTTAGCGCAGCACCGAGAGCAAATTGTCTCCACCCTGCGCTCATGCTAGGTTTGCGCTGATGATTTGCAAACAAAACGGAGAGCATGTGTATTAATTCATCATCGCCGCAGCTCGGGGTTTTCAGTGTCAGCGGCACACTTCATCATAATAGCGAAGACAAATGATTCTAATTTGTATTCCGCTCGCGAAACTCGTATTACTTGTGTGCTATATTTGTGTGTGCAAACACCGCGCACGCACACCGTCAGGAGCAGCTCTCGTAATGGCAAAAAATTGCCGTCGTGATTGCCTGTGCTGAATGAGAAAATTATTAATCAAGCAGAGAAAACGCCGTGCCGCGCGATCCCGAGTCGGCAATTTGAGCGACGGCCGGCTGGGGACCGAAAGAAAGATTTGTCATGCTGCAGATTAAATATACTGAGAAATGTCGTAATTAAATTTGCCTCCGTTTTATTCACTCCGTCTCCACGGAAAGGCAATATATTTGAGCCAAAAGCGCCTTTTGATCGAAAATGTTCTCCAACGGGGGCGGCATCAGTAATTTAATTTATGGAAAAAATTCATCTCGAGCGCGCCCGAAAGCTTGCGGCGTAAGAATTTTTATTTTTTTGCCAAGAGTAAAGAAAGAAGAAAGTTCTCTCGTCGTGCTGCATGCTACTCACAACTTTTCCTCATTCATTTTCTGTTAGCTTTACCCCGAAGGGACTCGCCGTGGAGCTTATTCTGGCTTTTGCGTGTAACTCTTTGGCAGAATTAGCAGCGGTGATCGGTGGGCCAACTTTTGTCTCGGGGAGAGATTTGGTAATACGGGCAGTAAAAATGTCCGGGCGGCGAAGAGAATTCTACACGATTTACTCAAGGCTTTTGAGAAATGCTCCTTCTGGGCGATGCAAGAGGAAATTCCACCGACCGTGTAATATTCTCAAGAAATTCCCCTAAAACAAGAGTGAAGGCGTGTGTGTTAAGCTGAAATTATATATATGCAGAGCAGCGAGCCAAATAACGCACGCATTCCATGTCAGAAGCAGACAGCAGCTTTGAACTTTTGGGCGCTTTCGTGTGTTTCATTTCTAAATTAAAATAACGCCCCGTTTTTCTTGACTCGCCTTCTTTTGATGAAAAATTTATAAAGCTGAGGAGAAAATAAAAAATAGAGAGAGAAAAAGAAGGCGCCGGCAATATTTTTCAGTCGGTCTTTCCATCTGGGCCTTGTTGTTAAACAAGAAGGAAAAATGAGCTTCTGGTGAAGGAGATTTCCATTTCAATATTCCATTTTTTCGCGAGAGAGAGAAAGAAAAATCCCATCAGAAAAAGCAGGAAGACTCAATTTAGGCTGCCGGTGTTTGTTATGCGAAAACGTGCCACCGAAAAGCGGCAAAACATTAGGGCATGGTACATACATATATGAATTTTCGCCAACGAGCTCAACCCTCGAATTTTATTTTTTCATCAGCACTAATTACAAATTAAGTCGTAAATCCAGCCAACGGAGTTCAGCAGAGGGACGTGCGCGCACGTGCGCGCGCCGAGCTTTTATGTAT